CTGGCCTGCTGAGGTTATCATGGATGAGGACGCGAGTTCCGCGCAGAGGTCGAAAAGACACTCCGGGATGAATATGGACTTCGTCGCAAGTTCATACGAGCGTAACCTCAAGCCAACTCTATGTCGAGCGTGCTCATCAAACCATAGTAACTTGATCGCTGTTCAAAACATCAAGTGCCAAGACGACCTCGTGAATGATCCTGGGATGGAGTCCTCACGGCGGTCGCTTTGCAATGAATGCCACGATTCATACCACCTTGCGTGCAACGCCCGCGCAGCTCGTGTTAATCGTGACGCGATTCACACGTCCGGTTCGAAGCCAATGGAAGTACATTAAGGAACGTCGCCAACGACTAATCCACAAAAACAACGATAGGGAAAACGCAACGCGTGTCCCTCATCAATACAATGTCAACATACGTGATGATTAACAGTACAGCACCGCAAGTACGGTCAGCAAAAGTAAAAGGTCCTTACACTATAGACCGAGTCAATGACAATGGCACTGTACGGCTCCAACATGCTACCGCCACGGGGCACAGTCTACCAACTTGGAACATAAGGTATATACACCCATACAAGGCCTGATCCCCTTGTAGGATTGCCATCGTGCGGCACATGTCTACATCCAAATCTCATGAGAGTGCCCGCACTTTAAATCATATGTTTTCCTTGTCCGACTGTGTCGCGCCTTCTGTGACCTTGTCAGGGGCGAATGCAATACACGGCTCTTAGCCTTATTCGCGACTCGATCCTAGATAGGTTTGAGTTCGACTCATGACGAGTCTCTCGTGAATAGTCATTTGAGACAGGGTTTCAATGACCGCGCTAGTCAACTAGGTTGATGATGAAACATCGCTCTAGATATTTAGCCAGCGTGGAATACTCCACGCTACTAGATCCAGGCTAGACAGACTTCCACGCGTTCCGTTTTAGGATCGTGGAGAGACGTAGGATTACTCCACAACCTACTCTATCACACTTTATAGTCTCCGCGGAAGCCAGATCTACGATCCTCGATGATGATCTCTCTCGTTGATTTTAGTTTTCATAGCTTTCTAATCTCTCTTATAACTTTCATTCTCTCAAACTCAAAACACTCGAAAGATCTTTACACTAGCTTTTAGCGTAGTGCAGTCGCTCTGTGTCGCTCCGTGGAAGAAGAAAGAAGGCTGATCGATCCGTCGAACGGAAGCAGTCAACGACCGATCGTCGAACTCGTCGAACAGCTGCCGCTGCCGCTACCAACTAACCAAGAGGAGCCTGTCATGGTGGTGAGTAGTAGCCTTTGTTAAGAGGAGTAGCCGCTGTAAAGAAGAGGAGGAAGCATCATCTTGATAGAGCCAATAGATATATCGAACGAAATAATGAAAAAAGAGGAGGATACGGGTGGCTCGGATCGTTCCGAGTGGGTTACTGCAGCGCAGTTGGGCCCCTCTTAGTTAGGGATGAGACTAGTAAATGTCATTTAACTATTTAAATAGCCATTCAAAACTCAGAGTAAGGCGGGCCGACTTTCCACCGTGTTATTTGTTAGTGACAGAATCCAAGCCCCTCTCAACCCAATGTGATTGGCTGCCCATAGGCAATTATGATGAGAAATAAGATTATACAACAGTGACCAAAAAGGTTTAAAGGGGTTAAGTTAACTCACAGGTCCTTTAACTAAGACCCATATCAACCAAGATTGACCGAGATTAAAAGACTTAAATAGAATGCCCAAAAATGTTTAATAATGGTTTTTCTCACCCGGTCGCACACTTGATCTGAGTTACTATTAGCTTGTTCGCTGTTATTATTGACTTCCTTGGTCAGATCCCAAAATATTCTCAATAAGCATTTGGTAGTCATCTTTTTCAGTCCACTCGATATCCATTTCCGCCTTGTACATTTCCTTGACGTGGTAACCAGCACAATCGGCCTGTGCTCCTGCTTCCATTGTATGGGTTGTAATATACTCTTTAACTTAACAAGTCAAGGCCACGGAGTGGCTTTATTGACGCGGGCATAAGTAGGATAATTCCCACTCAGCTGAGTCGTCATTCTACTTTTCTACCTAGTAAGCACGATTCCACCCACTGGCGCCAATGACGCCAGCACCAAGTAGAATTGATTGCCCCTAGCTAGAGGGGGGATGGTCATACTCACCAAGAACCTGCAGCGCAATACCTGGGTTACAGGGGCTATACATAGGGTTTCCGCCACCAATACCAGTGGAACCTTAAAAAGTATAGCATCAGAGTGCTCGCCGATAAGTGTGTCTGTGTAACAAGGTCCCATGCTGTGGCCAGTGCTTTGGCTTGCAAGGCATGCACTGTGCCAGCAGAGCCCGTAAGAGGTGGTACTCTTTAGGCTAGACCAGGTCATGGTGTAACCCATCCAGTGGACAAAAAGTGTTAGGTAGAAACCAACAAGTAGCCAAAGGATGGGGTCAAGTGACACACTGGCAGTCTGTGCTCCCAGGAGGGAGGCACTGTGGCTGCTGTAGTGTTGTGGGCTGTTCGAGGGGTTGTTGAGTCAATGGAAGGATGATAAGGGGGCACTGGAAGGAGGGCTGTGCCGGGGGCAGGAGGGGAGGTCCTCCTGTTGGTGTTGGAGTGTTGTTGAAGGAGTTAGGAGGTAGTATGGTTGATGGTGTGTTGTAGGATAGAGGCATGTCTCTGTTCAAGGGTGAGAACAAAGGTGTGATCCTCAAGATGGCTGCATGCTCTAGGAGCTGTTGGCTGATCAACTGGGGGTTGGTGTTGGTTAATCTGCGGAGGAGGATGGATGTGGTTGGTTGGGTGAAGTGTGGGAGTGGGGGGATGTCTGTAAGGACTTTGGGTTTGAGGGAAGGTGGGTGTAGGCATGGGGAAGTCATGGTGGATGGTAGGTGGGTGGGTGGAAGAGGTGTGTATCCTTTGGATTGACTGTATGGTCGTTGCTTCAACTCAAGCAATGGAGGTTGCTTGTGAGGCGGCGAGAGTATTATTGTAAAGGGTTTATTCAATGGTCAATGCACTGGGGCACTGGTAATCAAGGTATATATCAAAGTTGTTGGGTGGTTGTTGCCACTGGATCAAAGGCTGTGGCCAAATCTAGTGCAGGTATACCACTACCTGCAGGAGAAGATGGGATCAGAGCCAAAGGCTGTTAGGGATTCTTTCAGGGAAAACTGGAGGAGTCATGCTATAGACAGGAGAGGCATTGGTGGGGGTATCAAGGGGTGTTGTTGGTTGATGGGGCTGTGTTACTGGTTGACACTGTGTTGTCTCAGGGGCAGGGAACTCAATCTGTTGTACGGATATCAATGCAACAGAGAGTCAAGCCAAGATATGGAGAGGGTACTCAATTCAGGTGTAGGAATGGGAAAAGTCACTGAAGAGTCACTCAACAATCAAGTAGAGAAGAAGAGCCAGTTATTTATTAATATCTATGCCACACCACGCTGCAAATGTCTGTGGCTGTCCTTTGGAGCTCCACACTCTGTAGGAGAGGCAAATAGGAGCAGAGAGGTGGCTAGTTCAATGTAGGTGTTGCACAATCTAGCCTCGAACTAGAGGGGCAACTTTTGTAGTTAGTTCTTGTGGGGGTGAGATCCTTTGGGGAGGAGTTTGATGTCCCAGGGAGGAGGCTGGAACGACGAAGAATACAGTCAAGCCTGGTGATAGCAGAACTCAGGTCCTTACAGGAACTCTGTTGTTCTTTGTTGTTCCTCTGGGAGAGGAGTTATATATCAATGTAGGAGTGGTAACAGTAGCAGGGGATCAGTCAGTCAGTCAGTCAGTCTGTATAGGGATTGGACTGATTGGATCAGTAGGATCAAGTTCCAACTAGGACGTCAGGGGAAACCCAGAGTGGCCGGTGAGAAAGTAAGAAATACAGCTGTGTTTCTGTTCTCGACTGTCACTGCAGGTATCTGGTGAAGTCCTTCTTGATAGTAGTAGGCTGTCGGAAGAGGTACGGAGGAAGAGGTACGGTCGCGGGAGGGGCGAAGAAGAGGTACGTTCGCGGGAAGATCGATCGATTCACGGAGTCGAGTCTTGGATTCGATTTGATAGGATCGATTCGATTCGATTCGAATGAGTCAGTTGCCTTAGGGGTAAGGTTAACGGTCCTGTTGTTGTTGCGGAATCGTTCGATCGTACGAAAAGGGGCGACAATGGTGGTTTTGACGGTCGAGATCGGAGAACCTGCCCAACGTAATAGGATTTCAATTGGGATGGCTTTCGGTTCTGTACCTTCAAAGTTCTTGTTGTGTTCAATTTCTTCCAACTTGGTCGTCGGCGGCCGAGAAGAGAAAACCCACCCGATCTGGTAGGATTTCTATTGGGATGGCTTTCTGATCAGAACCGGAGAACGCCGCTTTGATAGTCGCTTGATAGGAGAGGTGCGCAGGAGATAGGAGGGATCGATCCTGTCAACCGGAGGGCTTGAATGAGATGTAAAGAGAGGAAAAGGATGTTTGTTTTTCGTGATGACGTTGAGTTGATTCCTATAGTAAAACAGTACTCTTCAACAAAATAACAGAAAACAAGCTTCCTGAGGTCCTTTCGCTTCGTTTCAATGCTTCTGTTGGTGCTAATAGGTAGTGTAATGGTATAGAGGTGTCCAGTTTGTTGTCTTTGTTGCTATTTGTGTTGTTGTTCTTGTTGACAGATTCAGAGGGGAAGCTCCTCGATTCGATTCGGCTTCCCGTGAAAAAGTCCTGCTTCCATTCCTGCTTCCATTGTATATGTCGTCTTCGACTCGACTACCGCAGACAAACTGTAATCAATCACTTGCCACGTGCCCTGAAAACGAACAAAGTTGCTTCGACGTAGATCGCATTGCAAAATTCCTGCCGAATGGGCCAACTGGAGTGACTTGACAAGGTCGGAGCAAACGCTCTTCGGCAAATCGCGTTCCGCATGGAACGTCTTTTGCGCTGTCGTTTCCCCATTGCGCATAATGATCGCCCCACTAGTGCGTTCTTCAGTCCCTTGAAGACAATCCCATCAGTACTCCTGTGTCATCTTGAATTAGGGACCTGCGGCCCATTCGTTGAGGGTTGCGAATCCCGTAGTGTCGCCGGCCCCGTTGGGAACACAGCCCAAAGCGTAGAAATCACTGTCCGATCCAGCCTTTGCCGCAATTTCTTGCAGTGCTTTGCTCTTGGTCGTATATATGTCGTGATCGTGGATAATTTTAATAGCGTATGTAATGTCTTTTGGTTGGACCGCGACTCCAAAGAATCCTGTGCCATTCGATTGTCTGTATTGTCGTGGGACAGTGACACCGTAGACACCTGATTGCGATTTGGCAAGGGCTTTGACACAGCAGCAGCAGGGTTTCACACCAATCTTGCGAATGGCATCACAAATTTCATAACCGTCTTCAGAAAAGAAAAAGCCTGCTTCCCACTCAGCGAACTTTGTAAGGTGCATTCAAAGGTCACCCACGGCGTCGTGATCAACTCGACGATCCACCCACAATTTTGCCTTTTTCAGCATTTCAGGACGTTCAGCCATCAAATACCAAGCCGACCTCCCTGTCACGGCAAAGGCAAACACCATCTTCAAGTACCCCTGGTTACGCATTCGCATTGTGACTCGTTCTACCGCTTGCTGCAGCACCTCGTAATCAACTGAAGCAAGATTGTCGCTGTTGGATGTGTCAGATATGATTTCTATATCCATTGGTACCACGATAGATGTACCATTAGGCTTTGCCGTTATTGCTGACACAAAGTAGCCTCCTCCGTCGACAGTTGTTGCTGGCTTGAAGAAAGGGCCGTCCACGGCGGTGGATTTGGACAAATCTAGCGCTTTCGCCGCCTCGACATTAAAAAATGTTTTTGAAAGTGGCCGTTTTGAAAGTTTGTCTCCCCTTCTTGACGGAGAATACGGAAATCCAAATTGTCCAACTTTGGACAGTCACTAGTGGAAATTTGCTCAAAAGAAGTATCACCAAAATTGCGTTTGAGCAAGTCTAAGAATTGTTGTTTCTCGACACTTTGGAATCTTTGATTTGCCTTGAAAAGCATCCATCGACACCACACCATGTGACGTCAAATTCTGTCCCTTCGATTTCCTCAACCAGTTTTTGAAGGGCCGCTCGACACGGAGTGGGTTTGGATCCTGGAGTCACTGTCTGATCGCCGTGATTCTTACTCTTTTGCGGCTGGATGCACTCAAAAATGTGGTAGCAAGAAATGACGTTAGAAATACTATCATGCCAGTCTTCATTCAATTTTTTCTCAAGTTTGTCCCCGTCATCACCCAATATCTTTAGGTGAGCTTCCTGCTTGACACCCAGATCGAGAAGTCTCACGAGCGACTTTGTAATCGGACCATCTCTGTGGCTTTTGCGTCTCAACTTAATCGCAATTTTTTCGATAAAGTACGTCCATGACTCATCGTCAAACTTGGACTGTTCTTGGACTTTTTGTTTGATGCTTTGGAGCCATTTCTTGTTGTCTGCTGTGTGGGAACTGGGAAGCATTGGCATTGACTCCTGCCATGGTCAAGGTGGTTAGGTGTCAGAAAGCTTGGTTTTTCACACAGCGCTATACGTAGTGTGTGGAAAAAACGTTCCAAGGCTAAATTATTCAAACCAAGGAAAAAACTTTTGGAAAAAACGTGCTCACGCCGGCGGGGCACCGGTACGATAACAGGTATGGTACCAGTACCAGTACCAGGAAGACAGGGTCATTCTGCTATTTCAGCATTTTGCAGTCTTGCATGCTGAAATTTGCTGAAATTTGCTGAATTATTGATGATGGTTGCTGACTGATGCTGAAAAATGCTGACTGATGGTGAAGTTTGCCGAACTTGCTGAATCCATTGGTGAAAAATGCTGACAGATGCTGAATCCAACTAAGGTTATTTACTAGTAATTGTTGAATTCTGCTGAATCTTGCTGAACTTGCTGAATCCATTGCTGAAAAATGCTGAATGATGCGGAATGATGCTGAAATTGCTAAATCTAAAGCTGACAAATGCTGAATTTGCTGAATCCAGTTTCAGCAAAATAATCAATTACCGTACCCTTCCAGGAGGATGGGGACGATGACACAAAGACGCTGTGTTAACATTTTAAACTCGTGTTTCAAATTCGTATTTAAATTCGTATTGAAATTCATGTCTCTTTCGTGTTTCATTCGTGTTTCAAATTCGTGTTATTTTTGTGTTAATTCGTGTTAACTCATATTAATTCGTGTTATTTTCGTGTTATTTTGTTCTAAATCGTGTTAAATCGTGTTAATTCATGTTAATTTCGTGAACGGTTCGTTAACGTTTCGTTAACGTTTCTTTCACAAAAAGGTATTTTCTTTCTTTTTAAGCTTATTTGTTTAAAATAACTCCATTTGTTTCGAAATTTATAGTAAATTAACTAACAAAAATGTTTTTCCTGATTCGGGGGGAAACATGAATTGCTCGGAAATAGCTTATTTTTGTTCGTTTCAACTCGTTTTAACTCGTTTTATTTCGTGAAACATCGTTTTATTTCGTTTTGAATTATATTTTGTGTTAAATTTGCGAAATGTTCGTTTTAGCAAAATTCGTTTAAAGATTTTTAACACGATTCTTTTTCGTGTGGTCATCCCCATCCTCTAGGAGGGCCTCCAGTTTACGGGCCTTTTGGCGATCCCACCCCGAATAGCAGTCGCGCGAGTGCAGTGGCGACCACAGTCGTGTGCAATCATGAGCAGTCGCGCGCAAACGCGTATAAAGTCGCGTAGAAATGCGTGGAGTCGCGTGTAGTCGCGACACCATATCGGGATAAATACAAGTACTAAAGAAGCGAGTCGCGAGGAGTTGCGAGGAGTCGCGTGGAATCGTGAAGACTCGTTCGGTAATCCACGTCGAATCGCGCGACTCTAAGCGACTATTCGTAACTTCTCGCGACTCGCCAAACACTTTGGGGTTTATCGTGACGTCATCTGGGGAATACCGGAGCCCCTCCAGGTACCACCAGGTACGGTCCGCCAAAATAGGGGTATCGCGCAGGAAGAGAAAAAAAGGAGAAGGAAAAGAATTAAAGAATGTAATTACCCCGAACTCTAATGGTTTCCCCACCGCCTTCCCTCTAAATCTAAGAAAACATCTACGATAACTACCTCCGGCACAAAGAAGGTTAAAGAACCTTAGAAACACCATTTCGAGGCATTTAGCATAGGTTCTTCTGTACTTCTAATTCGATACTATGTGAAATATTCTGAATCTTGTTGGAAATTCCTTTCGTGACTGGTGTGATTTTGTTACACTCAACGCTTTAACCTCTACCCTACGGACGCGGTGAAATCCAGTCGAAACCGTTCCACAAAAAGACGGCCAATGACAAATCCACGATGACGGATCCTTCCGGTAGACCGAAGCAAATAGAAAAGGCACAATGACAGTTCATCAAGAAGACAAGAAGCAAGATCGACGCCGACCCAAAGGGATTCTTCCAAAGCAACAACTGGCGAAGGATATCGCCCAGCAGTGGAATTAATGACAGCTCACTCTTGAATGCTGATGACAAAACCACTCAGCGAGTTGGTTCATTCTATGTGAAGGCGATGGCGTCATGGGTTCCGCATAGACTGATAAAGAACCATGTGCCCAAGTGTCCCAACTGTAAAACCAGCCGATATGTGGATGTCAACAAAGTCCGCTGGATGAATGCCCCAAAAACTCTGTTTTGCATGGAACGACACATGTACTTGGACACATATCTTTATCCATGCACTGGTTGTGCCAGTAGATTCGCAGGTTACCACCCAGTTTCCATGCAGCTGGATGCGGACATCTACCATGGGTTCTTCAACTTCTATCTTGGCCCTACGTACGCTGTTGATGAACAGCTTCACCGGTACATTGTCCTGAGCTCCGCGGAACAATCAACAGCAGTCATTGCACGCACACTGAAGAGCTTGGCTTATGAAGCCTACTACTCAGATTACCACTTGTACCTTTCCGCTGTCGGGGTAAAGAAAATCAAGAAGCCCAGGATCAACAAAGCTTTTACAGCTCCGGTAATAGAAGATGATGTCTATGCCCGTCTTGTTAGGCGAAAAAGGGAGCGGCAACATGAAGTGGTGAAGGTGAAGCTTGATTTCCAAAGTGCCCAGTCAAGAGCAAGTAGAGACATTGAGTTGAAGAGTCTTCTAAACGACAAAGGCAACCACAACGTCCATGGTGCACGGAACATACTGCAGGACTTGGACCGGCCAAGATCAACAGTCTCATTATCGCTGGAATTACTACGGCAAAAGAGCTAGGGAAAGCCAAGACTGGGTGGTACCCGCACATCAACAAGACAAAATTTATTAGGTGGCAGTTGCTAGTACAGAGTTACTATGAGAAGCTAGAAAACCACGCCAAAGACAGGAAGGCAAAATTGACAGCAGCCGAACTGGAACTGCAGGACGCCCAGGCACAGCTGGACCAGCATGATAAACCACCAGATCCACCAGAAGAACCACCAGAGAATGCCACGGACAATGCAGAAGAATGGCGACCACCGCTGTTTTCGAAATTCAATGACAAGGAGGGGTATAATGGGCGAATCCTTTCCAAATATGGCATTGACAGCATAGTCGCCACAGTCTTCAACCAAAGGAAATCGCTCATACAGAGCAAGATGCAGGGAATTGTTGTAAATGCACTCAAAATTGATTTCAATTACAAGCTGGCCAAGAAGATCAGAGTGTGGACCAAGCAAGGACAAAGCTTCTCTCCATACAAGTGCATTGTCACCATTCAAAATGAAGATGGATTGACAATTTTCTGGAAGGCTTTGAAGCATTCCGAATCCTTCTCAGAGATCAAGGTCGACCTTGAGAGACTGAAAACAAGGCTGGACCGCAATTATCTCAATGCGAGGAAGACGGCGGTGGCAAAAAAGCGAAAGGAGAATGATGACAATGGTGTCATAGAGCCAATTCCCGATCCGGTTATGCAAGACAGTGTGAAGGTGGTGTACCTTGATAACTGCTGCAATGTCAAGAATGTCATCAAGTCAATCTTTGGGGCAGCGATCCTAATCAAACTTGACATTTTCCACTGGCTCCGACGATGGAATGATTGTATGCACGAGCCCTCTTCCCTCCACGCTGGTGTTGTCAGAGCTTTCTTTAGCAGCGCTTGCTTCACAGTGGAAACTGAAGAGTATGAAGCGGCCAAGGAGAGAGTTAAGGAAAAGCTGGCCAAGAAGAAGGAGGGGCGTGAACCAACCGTCAAGGAGATCAGGAAGGAAGCCCGCAGCCGCATTCCAGAACCAGGCTTGTTGAGGAAGAACGTTGAAGCGGTGTACCGGTATTTCCAAGCCAAAGATGTTCAAACAGACATCGAGATATCTCTTCGAGCGCCTGATGATACCACACCAATGCCAAAGCGATTTTTAAAGCCTGCTAACAAAATCCGTGATGTTGTTATTGAGCAATTCAAACACATCGATAGGGGCTGCCTGTCGGATCCTCCAATCGAAGTCCTGAATATTTGGCGCCAACACCCAACCAGCGGCATTGTCTTTGTTGCAAGAGGAACTAACACAAATGAGCGAGACAACCTTGATCTCGCTCATACCATTCTGACAGCCACACATATTGGTAAGTCTCCTTGAAGTTGCTCTTCGCAGATTTCCCATTTTACTAACATCGCGTTTTTGGCCACTAGGAATTCACCGGGGCGATAGGCTGCTTTGGACTTTCTTCGAAGGAAGGAACCATCGCAAAGCCATTATCCGACTTGGCGAAGAAGACTATGGAACCCAGTTCACCGAAAAGTTGATCTTGCTCAATTCTTTTGCCAAGTCGGTTGGATTTAAAGATGAGGAGCTACCCTATCAAGGCCTTTCTGCACCAACCGCTGTAGAAGAAGAAGAGCAAATGGGATTCAGTTATGCTCTGGGACAAGATGTTCACAATGTGTCCACGAACAACGATACCGACTACACGGTGACCAATGACAGTGCGGATGATCCAGTCATCGCCAGTTTTTTGAGTGATGTACTTGGCGAAGAAATGGATATTGAGGTTGCTGTTGAGGACAGCGAACTGGTTGAACCGACAGCAGAGGCAATGCAAGGAATAGAAGATTTGATCGCTGAATTAGACAATGACGAAGAGTTTCAGCGACAAGACAAGGCGAACAAAGATTTAATCCAAGCTGAACTGGCGAAATTACTGCCAACCATCAGTAGTCGAGAGTCAAGAAAAGAGACCTTCCAGCGATTGACAAAACAGTCAGGCTGGTTTCCACTAAGGGTGCCAGATAGCACATCACCAGCAACTGATGTGGACAAAGAAGAGGCCACCCTTTTCGATCAACTTGCAAAAGACTACGACCGACATGTCAATGGTGGAGCCCGATCATATCATCGCTTTGCTGAGAGGTGGAATGACGCGGTAACACAACGTTTTTCTGCTTGGAGCGAAGGGAGCGATGTGATACAGATTCGTCTCAAGAGTGTTCTTCAGTTACAACAATACCATGACAAGTTGCATGAATACCGGCGTCTACGTGCCAGTGCACCAGCCAATGAAGACGAAGACCGGCGCCGACTTCAACAAGCGTTTCGCGAGACACGACAACAGCTGCCAGCTATGCCGCCAAATCACCAGTGTGGGCCTGTCATGTATGCTAATAATGGAGGAACCATTCCATTTGGCAATCCAATGACTGTCAACAACAGCATCGCTGTGCAGACTGTACAAGGCTACAACCACAACAACAACACTGCCCCTTATTTGATGCAAGCGGCAGCCCTTCCAGCGAATCCACCACCAAGACCAGTGCGCAAGCTATTTAGGACAAAGATGTATTGCATTGTTTGTGGGTGGAAGAAGAAAGAACATGTTGGGGAGGAGCGACCTGGTGGAAGAGACAAGAAGGGCGCCAGCAAATGTGGAAGGCAGTATTATGGGAACTGCTTCATGATGAAAAGCGAACATGACAAGAGAGGTGTTGCTGGTATGGGTCCTGAGTGCACTCGCCTCTTGAAAGCAACAGAGCATGCAACCACAATGTTAAAAACTGGTGGGTGTACAAAGTAAGTTTGACTACTGTTGTTACTGTTTTCACTACTGGTTGACTACTTGGATATCAAACACCAACAAATTCTTTTCTTTCTTTCTCCAATCTCAATCCTCAGAGCTAGTAATGGAGTCAGGTCCATCCATGTTGGGAGGGTAAGGAACAATTCCCCTTGTCTGGATGTAAGTAATGATGTCTCTAACAAAGTCCTCACTCATCAGTGTCATTACCCTGAAGGAGACTTTGATGATTGGGTATGTCCTGTCAAACCAGTCAGACCAGTAAGTCATCACAGCATCATGATCAACAGAGTCAATCTCATAAGTACCATGTGCCTTGTCTCTAACTCTCCAGTAAATGCACAACTTGTACATCCTCTCCTTGCTTGTAGGTTGGTCCTCTTCAACCATGGTAGCCAATATGTCAAGAACAACACTGTACCATCCAATGCTGTGATAGTATCCCCAAGACTCCATGCTGTCAAGAATGCAACTCATATCAGGAGTCATGGGCTTGGCACTTCCACTCATGATGACTTGTTCCAAGCTGGGAGTGTCAAAGCTACTTACTGCCAAACATTTCAAGGACCTGAAACTGGGATGATAGACCTCTCCTGACTCCAGCAAAACATACTTACATTCAAAGCTATGCCTGGTAGCCCTTAACTCATTGTAGGGATAGAAACTCTTATCTAGCAACCACTTTGAAAAGACTTGACTAGCATTGATCCTCATAGTTTTGTAGTTGTAGTGACAGATTCAACTGTTGGCTTCCAATGATGCGATCTTCCACGGAGACCAAAATGTGAGGTCGTTCGTCTAGAGGGTACGATGCACCTCCCTGGTCATGGTGCGTTAAGTCTTCGATATTCTTTCTGGTGTCTTAACAGGACTAAACTTTTCAAATAATCACTACTCTGGGATAATGTATCGAAAATGGAGCCTAGAATGACTAGTCTTGTATCGAAATTTGTACTGAAGAAAGTTGAAACCCCACTTCTTTCGCATCCCAGGTACCCATGCCCGTGGCGCCATTGGTTTTCTTCAACGGCGAATTTCAATCTTCAATTCATTCGAACACTTCGAACAGGATTCGAATTGATTCGACTCGATTCGATTCGATTCATCATTCGCTCCAGTTCGGCAACCGCTTCGATCTTCTAGCCTCACCATTTTGCACCAAACGACTGCACCAGTTAGCAAAGGCGTGCTTTTCGACAACACCACCTTCCACCACTTAGCCAAGAAGACTTGGTTGTCCGACTACGGTACCAACTATCTCGCTAGTCGAGGCCGTGCATTGACCTGAAAATCTTGTCGAAGGAGGGAAGTCGAGTCGAGTTTACTAGTAGTTCCTTTTTGTTTTAAAATAAGCGTGTCATTGGTTGTCCTTGGATTTCGATCGAGTCGAGTCGAGCCGAAAAAGTGCACCAGCACCAATAATCTATCTCTACCATCATCATGGATCGCCAGTTGTTGAATCGAGCGACGGATAGTTCCGATGCTCCAACTCCCGGATATCTGTACGTGGACATTGCCAAGAATGCCGCTTCATCACCCGTCGCCTGTCAGGAAATTGCCACTTTTTTGACGCGCAAATTGGCCAACAAACAAAATGCGAATATCAAATGGAAGTGCCTCAAAGTCATTGCCAAAACTGCAGAATCTGTCAGTCGAGGACAATTCAAGCGTGCCGTGGTTCAAGATCAATCTGGTGTGGCAGCCATTCGATTGGCATCGAATTTTAGGGCACCACCCGATCCACTACGCGGCGATGAGCCCTCCAATCGGGTACGGATGGCCGCCAAGGAATGTCTCGATATTATCTATTCCGACACGCCCACACAAGCCGAGCAGAGTCCCTATAATTCAGGGGGAGGAATGTCCAACACGTACGGTGCTCCACCTCACCAACAACCATCCTATGGAGGTGGAGGAGGTGGTGGAGGAATGCCGCCTCCTGGAACGGGTCGTCGTATGGAAGGCATTGGAAACCCAATGTTTTCGGATCCTCGGCTAGAGCCAGAGCCCAAAAGTAAAATGGAAGCCATGATGAAGGATGTTGGAGAGACTGTTGTGGGAATGATCAAAGACCCATTGGCTAGAGCTGCTGATGCACGAATTGCCAATGCACACGGGGAAATGCCACGTCCAGGTGGAATGCAGGGATTTGGTAGTCACAACAGTGGATCGGTAGGTTCTCTTCTTTTTTATATATGTATATAAAAATGTCGTGATCCTGGGAAATGATCCTGCTATGTTGTGAATAATCACGATGAAATTGCCAGTCTCCTCACCTGTTTGTCATCTCCCGAATTCAAATATCCATTTGTTTTTCACAGTATGGACGTCCTACTCCGCCTGGTCAGAGTCAATTGGCTCATGCTACTGGTGGACAGTGGACCATGGCTTCTAACAGAGGACCCAATGCAGTAGGAAGTAGTAGCAATGCCAATGACGCATACTACAAGTCGCGTCAGCAAGGCAACAACGCATTCTCTTGGGCCAACAAAGATGCGCATGGTTCCCATGGAGGGGTTGGAGGTTCTTGGGCATCTCCTGCTCCAACATCACAACCCTCATATGCTGATCACCACTCGACTACCCCCTCAATCACCGTCAACTCTATCCCAGGATCTTCAGTCAACCGAGGCAGTAGTGGCACTGCGGTTAGTGATGGCTCGTACGAAAAGAACTTGGTCATGGAATTGTGCCCACCAGGTGGCATGAAGCCCGTTCCTCCTCCCGACAAACTCTTGAATTTTGCCAAAGCAATCCCCAGTCTCAATGCTGATCAAATCAGTCCAGTCTTGTTGGATTGCTTGGAAGATGGACATCCTTGGATTATGCGAGCCAAGGCACTTTGTGTTATGGAAACTTGCATTCAGGCAGGCTCTAGACCTGACAATACCAATCCCTATGCCAACTTCTTTTATACGTGCCGAGGAGAAATTGAGCCACTTGCATCTCATGCGCGGGCTGCTGTCAGGGACCCAGCTCGGAGGGTCCTCACGTTGTTGGGTGTGGAAGTGACAGCAGAAAAGCAGGCTGCGCCACCTGCTGCAGCCCCACCTGCTCCCCCCGCCGAACCTGTCAACCTACTGGATCTTAACGATTCACCCGCAGCAGCCCCGCCTGTGCCTCCGCCATCGGCAACCCCGCCGCCTCCAACTCAACCTGCTGTATCGGGTGCAGATATGTTTGGTGGAATGCAACTCAAAAGTGCCCCCGCTGTTGCAGCTGCTCAGGCGCCTGCACCTCCACCACCAGCACCAACCAGCGGAAATTTACTGGATGGGTTGAATTTGAACAATCCTCCTGCAGCGACCCCTGCTAAGCCTGCTGAGGTCATTGACATGTTTGGTTCCCTCTATGTAAAATCGAACGAGTTTGAGGAAGAGAAGAAGAGAGGATCTGAAGATTCAGATGACCTTGCTGCCGTCGCATCATCTGGTTCTGCCTTTGGTTTTATCAATGCCAACGCTTCAAATCAAGCTGCTGGAGCCTCTCCAGCGCCAGTGGCACAACCAAACACTATGGAGTCTTTTGATCCTCTCTCCAACTTCTCACCCAACACGCAAACACAAATGTTGCAGGTTTCTCCGCAGCAGATGCAAGCACTGGCCTACCAGCAAATGATGATGCAGCAGCAGGCACTACAAATGCAGATGGCCATGGCAATGCAAGGTGGCGGCATGCCGCGCGCACCAATGCAGATGCAAATGATGCCTGGTGTAGCTCCAGGAGTGATGGGCCCGCATCCGGGGAATAATACCAGCACGGGATTCTCATTTCTGGACAAACCTGCGGCAAAGAAGGAAGACAAAATGTTTGATTTTGTCCAAGACGCCATCAAAACAGAAAAAACCCACCATTAGTATGATTGTGATAGACGAGTGTTATTTGGAGGTCTAGCTAGCCAGATAAAAAGAAATAGTTGTGCTGACCACAAAAGGACTTGTGATTCTTCGCCCTTTAGAACCGTCAACTGTCGTGGAAGACGACACCGCTCAATGAGAGGGTACCGGTATCGTACGGTGGTAATTGGGCCATTGGAAACGACGAGATTATAGGCACAATAGGTTGCTGTTGCCAAAAAGCCCCCCAGTAACGAGCCCAAGCATTACGACGGCACACTGTTGAGACACACTGTGAGGCCTCGCCTTCCAGCACCAGCTGCAGCCGACCCGCCATGCGCACTACAAGTGCAAAGGCAAGACGATCGCACCGCGCAGATGTGAACACACATATTGTCCGGAAGAACACACTACATTGTACGATCATCAATCTGTTTCCGGGGTCGTCTTATTGTTTCTTTTTCAACCAATCGGGCATTTGGTGAACGATTCCATCACCCTTCAATGCTCCTGCTTCGACCGTGCCCTTCAAGATAGCGCGTGATGGTTGAAATCCCCAACAGCCAACAGAGGCATCATCCGGCCACTTGAAGTCGGTTTGCCACAATTTGTTGCTGTCTGCCGCACTGGCATTGTCTGCGTCATAGGCAATTGTGATATGAGGCGAATCCCTTTCCACGAGGTCTGGAGAAAACGACGTGACAGCCACCGCCACACTCATCAGGACCTTTTGCTTGTTGTCGACGATCCTGGTACTGTACTTGACTTCGCCCAACGTCAGTTCTTGAACAGAACCATGGCGGCTCCACAAACTGGCCATTCTCTTCATATCTTCGACACAGGATGACCGTCTCACAAAAACCAGAGTCGAATGCGGATTGGGTGGACGGACGACGTTGGTAGGGATCATGATCCCTTGCTCCTTGGCGTGCTGCAGGAAGCCAACGTATATCTCACGTACAGCAGTGACGCTTTCGGTATCCAGCACTGTCCAAGCAAGCGCAGCGTCGGAATGAAATCTGTCATTTGCGCTTTGCTCATCTGCAATCTTGAATATTTCGTCGAGTGTTTTGCCTTCTGGGTTGTTTTCCGCGGATCGAAGGTTCCGAGCCATTTTCTCGACCTTTTTATGATCAACGTCGTGTAGGTTCTGGAGGAATCCAAGTGGAGTGGCTGTATCCAGTGTCAAGATCGTCACGGAAGCTCCTTTGGCAACGGCCATTCGGAGGTATGGCGCATACTCTCGTGCGGTGGTTGATGTATTCGAAACTACAAGACAACGGACGTTGCTGTCGTCTAGTGCCCCTCGAGCACGGTTTTGGGCATCCTCGTGCGCCGCCGAGATTAAATCAGGATGGTACGGACATGTTGCGCCAAAGTAGTCGTCTGCCTCAACAACGGGAGCTGAGGCAACGGGCTCCTGCCCGGTATCTCGCCATAAGCGTTGACATGCCTTTGCAACTGTACTCTTGCCAACGCCCGAAACCCCGCGGAGGATCAACACCTTCGAAGGAGAAGTGGAGGAGTGAACCATCGGGACAAGGCGACCAGTTACATCACCGAACTGAAGATCTATTGGCGATTGAGCATCGAAAAGGTCCTGCAAAGTCGGAAAGGCCTGGCGCAGAGATGTCTCTGCTTGTTGGACCGCAGCATCAAGCCCGAGCCGATGTGACTTCACGTCGAGGTAGTCTTCCGCCCCCTTTTCCGCCACAAGACACGGCAGCGCCATCAACTCAGCATTGAACTCGCTGTGGGTGGTTTTGGATATCAAAATGCCAGAATCAGGAGTCTCCAAAATTATCATGTCTGGCTGGTCGTCTCGTTTACCCAGAACAACCTTCACGCGCGGATTGGAGCCCAGAAAGTTCGAGAATTTTTTCCTTATAGGCCCCAATATGTCCTCCTTCTTCTTCTTACCTTTCTTGTTCGCCTTTTTAGCCTCTTTTGTCATCTTGGGTGTTTCCCCTCCTGGAAAGACATGATTGAAGCCAACCACAATCTCTCCGTGAAAGCCAGTGGGGATATTTTCCCACACAAAGTTTTCTTTCTCAAGCCTTTTCACCATCTCCACGGGATCTGCAAAAACCAAGGAATCATCCAAACCGTGGACCGCCATGAACTCAGCCAATTGAAAGGCCACGCCACACCGAGCCACAACGAATGGTCCATCCGTCGTGTCTCGCAATACATCGTCTTCCAATAGACCCAACATCTTGGCAGTTTTCAGATAGTCTCGGCCTGCATCGGACTCAGCCGGCAATAGGATATCCTTACTCATCATATCCACTAGAGCGGCAGCCGTGGAATCCATCTGTATGGCACGTTCTTGCAACCACATGGCAAAATGGGTGTAGAACAATGCCGCAGCCGCAACCACATCGCTGGGCTTTTGGCCATGACAGAATTCTTTTGGATCGGGGTATGGCTGCGCAGCCAGATCACCAAACTTTTGTCGGCAAAACTTCAAAGCTCGCTGATGGAGAGTCTTGAATGTCGTCAAGTGCGCATCGTCACCGTTGCGTGTTCTCCGCAGGAATTCTCGAAACTGTCGATGCGTGATGTAGCTGGCCGTCTTGGCTTTGAAGAGTTGTCGAATTACTGGGTCGCCCTTTGTCTCGTCCTGGGCCATTTCATAACAGACGGCACCTTCTCCCGCCAAGCATTGATGGTTTTGATGTGGGGGATCAAACCACGCTCCCTTGGGGGCATCCTTGTAGAAGAAACGCCCTTTCATGAGCGCTTGTGTGGCCATCTCCAAGTGCCCCACCTTGACCAAAAGAGTCGGCTTGCAAGTTTGAGCAGGTGCTTGCATTGCTCCTCTCCACAGATCAAAGGTGAATTCCTGATCTACCTTGAAGACGAGACCGGAATGCTCCGTGTCGATGCTTCCCAATTCAGGCAGTTGGACCATACCAATGAAGGCCAAATGATCGACGGGACGACCATCTTTGCCATACTCGAGCACAATGTGTTTATTGTCGTTGAATTCAAACAATAATAGGTATCCGCGCGACCACAGAGACAGAACCAAATCCTGGTTGATTCCATCCTTCCAAATCTCTCGGAAGCACTCAAAAATGTGAGGAGGAAACTGGCCGGTATCTACGAGTGACAGTTGGCTAAAGGTAGTCTTTTTGGAATGATCGTGGCTCATGACATCCGACAGGAGCCCAGCACACTCACAAACTCCCTTGGAGTTGACAAACAACCATAGCTCTTTGGAAACAGGATCTGTGTAGCCGTAGACTCCTGCATTCTTGCCGTTTGCCTTCCAGGTGAAGATGTAGTGGGTTGGTTTCAGCTTTTCTGTGCCAGGAAAGCATTTTGCGGGTGGAGCATGAAGGTCAACAGCAGAGGAAGCGTCGTGGCTGGTGGTGGTTCCTTCTTCCACGCCTTCATCACCTTGTCCAGCAAACTTTTTGTTTCCATGAATGATAAAGGCACTGCCACGCAAATGATCAAAGACCACAAAACAAGCTCGAGGGATGTTCTGTTGCAGACAAGGGAACAAGTAGCCAGTGTCATCGGTCAAGCCGAATTTGCTTTTATTCCGCGAGGCTTGAATTTTGATGGATAAGGCTTCAAAGCGTCTCTTATCGCCATCGACCAGCACCGGTCCTGATTGTCGGGCGTTGGGACCGAGACGGACAAAATCATACCATCTGGCAAATTGCGACTGTTTCCCAAGTCGATCAGCCGCTTGTGACAAGGAAACCAACGTGCGATGTTTGCCATGGCAATAGAGCAGTTGGTCCCCGTGATCCTTGTGAAATTGGTGAGTGCGAATGAAAAAGCGGCAGACAAAATCTTGCAAGATCGCGTTGTTTCGGAAGCTTTCGTGGCTGGCGAGAAACTCGCTCAGCCACAGCTGGAAGCCTCTGTCTTCGTTTTCGAACGTTTCCATTGTTTTGGTGAATATCTGGCTAGCTATTGAACGTAATTATTTGGTTTTATTAGCCTCCGCTTTCTTTCTTTGTGCTGCAGGCCAAGCTCCTCTGAAAGAAGGACAGGATGAGCGTCTCTTCGATCACGTCTTCGGTGCGTGCTTTTCCAAGTTTGGGTTTGGATCTTTTATTTGGGGGCGAGTTGAAACCTGGATCGCAAGAGAAGTCGGCGAAGATGGGAAGGCTTCTAACAGGAAGATGGGAAGGCTTATACAGGAACACGTTTCTGGTTAGCGAGACTACCGGTACCAGTACCGGTATCACTCAATCAGTGGAGAGATAATTGCAGAGTCTACTGTCTACCTATGTGGCTTTGTTGATTGTTGCGAGCTGGTTGCCTTTATTTTGCTTGTGGTGCTGTTTCTTACCAGCATCTTCCCAACAGAAACCAGCATCATTCAGCTTTGCCTGACGTTCCTCACTCAGCCTATTGTTCATTAGGTCAGTGCGTCGGTTCATTGCCCAATACCCAAGTTTTGCATTCTTCGGGTATCGTGCTGGGATGTACCCATGACCATTCTCTGTCACAAACGCTTTAACGCAAGATATCATTATATCAAATGCTTTCTCAGATGATGGTCACGAGGTCGAATTATAACGTTATAACGTTGATTGCGAGGTGGTTTGCGGTCTTGTATCTTCCAAATGAATCCAATTGAGTTTAGCTTTCCACACGGTAGCCACATAGTTTTCCTTCATTGTATCTTCGCCGATTGTATTCCACCCAGCGATAGAGCGCTTCCTGTTTGCGCTTTACATAACAACTTCCAAACGTAATTTGGTAGTCTTTCAAAGCAAGGTAACCTTGTTCCCATTCTTCCTTCCCATGATTTCGGCCTCTGTTACTACTGAGTGTTATCGCTCAAATCCGTGAGGGCTTTGGTACTTGGTGCCGCTCGAGGCGAGCGCTTTGGTACTACTGGGTGTTGTGGATCAAACGCCGCCAGAACTCGTTGCTGTATTTTGGTGTTATGGCGGAAGAAGCTGCGGGAGAACGCTTCCCACAATAAGTCTTGTAGCTGATTTGACGCAAAACAAGGATCGTTGCGGGCCAATGATGGTTGGCAGCCCAAATCGGCGGAGCTACGTGCAAGTTGATTGTTTGAATCACCACAACTCACGCTTCTTTTCTCTCTGTGGTTCTTAGTGGATGGTCACTTTTCATCGTTCCATGTAGAGTCTGTCGTCGAGCCATCATAACTTTGCCGTGCTGCAGTATCTTCCTCCGCTGCGGGAGAGCTGGTGTCATTTAAATCCAGTCCGTTTTCTCGTATATCACTGGTTCCGTTGACTGCTTCTCCTTCGTCACCTCCATACTCATTACTAGTCTCAATAGCAGAGCCCCCGGGAAAGGTAGCGCATCCGGCGTCTCCAGTGGTGAACGAAGGATTCATTTTGCCTGATGCATGTTTCTCTTCTCCTGACAGATCGCCCTTTTGGCGAAACTGGGCAGAACTGTCCGGGTTGGCAGAGTCACCGGAGGCTTCCAGCGTACTCTGGTTGCTTTTTTGAAATTCCGCAATCAGCCCAGATCTGTGCTTGTCAACCTCCATGTTTATTGCAGTTTCGCGCCTTGTGCTTCTCAAAACAACCTTCTTGATCGATGAGCGCCAGTGAGAAACGTCGTTCCTTTGTTGCACCTTGTCCCCGTGGAGGGCGCGGCGGAACGCCCAAAACCTAGATTGGTCCGGGAAATCCTTTCGGGCCACCAGGTAGGATGGCCTCGCATAAATCAGAACATTCAGGAAGCCTTGGAGCGGGAGGGTGATGGACACAATTATCAGCAAAGGATACAGGGTATCTTCGTCTTCTGCATGGAAATGTCTCATTTCTAATGATCGTAACAGAACTGTTGGCAAAAAACAGAGCAAGAACGATGCGACGTACAAGAAGGCTTGGGTTGCCACTGCCTTAATTCTTTTGGTCTGTTGCTGATTGAGTTGGTTGCCAGCTGATGCGCCAATGGAGGAATGTAGATAGGCCCTGCTCCGTACGATGGTTTGCCTAACATGAAGATAAACCATTATATTGCTGGTCAAGATGACAATAAAGATAATCATGGCGGGGATGCCCGCAAAAACCCAGCTGATGGCAATCGATTCACAGCACACGGCATCTTCGCCATCCTCAGGATTGCAGCCGCAGCCGTGAGGGTAGTCGTATACCCAACAACCCATCCCAACCAAAACCTCGTTGTAGACTCCCATCACCGCTCCAATAGTAGCGGTGACGAGGGGGTATCCAATGGAAAGAATGTGCATGAATGGCTCGACCCTTCTAGCAAGTTGCTGTTCCTTGAAACCAAATCGAACTGTCAGCAGGAAGTACAAGCTGAGAGATCCATTGTACCAAGCATTGCTAAAGGAAAATTGTTGCAAGAATCCCAGAGCAGTACAACTTGTGTCATTCCCGAAAGCCCACACTCTTTGAGAAGTCTCGTTGGGCAAGAGAAATCCCTGAAGAGCAATCGCGACACTGCTCACCAGATCACAGCAGCTGAGGCCCAACAATATTCTGCGATAGGGACTTCTCTTTTTCGACGAAAGAACCATGTAGATAATGTTGGAACTTCCCCAAAAACTCAAAAGCGCGGAAACGATGGCGATAATGTAGAGGGCCTGCTCCTGAGCATCCGTGAGACTGGAGATGTCCTCGCTTGGCAACCCGCTGTCCCCCTCTAGAGACATAGTTGTGTTTGTTCTTGTCCGTCTTGTTGCTTATGCCAAGTTGGGGTCTGCCCTGTCCAAGTTGAGGTGTGGCCTTGTGAGAGTACTGTAGTTTTCGTTGTTGGATGGTCGGGCCTACGATGACTGCATGCCTGATGGAAGCAGTGGGAACGCGAGGATGTGGTCGCTTTTGTTGATGTTACGACGTTACGGCTAAGCTTTTCATCCACGCTCTGCCTTGTTTAGCCAACGGAGCTGTAAGAATGAATGGCTCAGAGGCTTCGTCAAAACCCCTCGGACCTCGGATCTTCGCAACCATGGAGATAACACCCCCACAAACAAGCAACATCTTATGATGATGATGTCGTCTCGAGCCATCATCGCAGCCACTGCTCATGTGAAGAGCCTTCGTCTTGTGACACGAGGACAGCAACGACAGCAGTTCTTGTTGACCGTATCATCACAGCAACCATTACTGCGTTCCTACTCTACCACCTTTGCGTGCCTCAAGAAACGCAAGGACGATGACGATGACGACGATGAAATCATTACCATGAACACGGAAATGTCGGAAGAAGAAGCTCGACAACTGATTGACGACGAACTAGCGAAAATGGAGAAGGAACACGCCGATAAGTTCGCCGTGGCACCAGAAGATTGGAAACCAGGAATGCGCAAGCGGAAATTAGTGGTGGGCCGTAATCTCGAAGATTTTGAGCGAGAAATCTTTCCCGATCGATTCGCCGCCAAATGGACCTTGCGAGATAAACGCTGTGGCGCCTTGGCCATTAAAGTGGGCATGCTGCCTGTCTGGGATCCCGTCTGGGGTGAACGACACGCCTGTACTTTGCTATATGTCGACAACAATGTAGTGTTGGGACACAAGACCATGGAGCAAAATGGATACACGGCAGTACAGGTGGCTGCAGGACAACGAAAACGAAAAAATGTCGGTAAAAGCATCCTGGGACAGTACAAGGGATTGTTGCAGTACGATCCAACCGAAAATCCACCCTTTCTAGTACGAGAATTTCGTGTCACCAATGAAGAGCACATGCCACCACTCTTTTCTTGCATTCATGCGCGCCATTTTGTACCTGGACAAAATGTGGATATTTCTGGAATCTCCAAAGGAAAAGGATTCCAAGGAGCCATGAAGCGGTGGGGATTTGGTGGTATGCCGGCCACACATGGAACCTCCAAGTCTCATCGACACTTGGGATCAACTGGAGCGTGCCAAGATCCTGGAAAGGTCTGGAAGGGCAAGAAAATGGCTGGTCGAATGGGAGGTGACCGAGTGACGGTTCAAAATATGCGCGTTCTCAAAATTGATCGAGGACGAAACTTGCTCTGGATCAAGGTAAGCATCAAGGTTATATAAAGTGTCATCCTTCAAGCCTGTTTGAGTTGAGTCGAGTCGAGTCAATTCAAGTCTCTTCATTTTGTCTTCCTTCTCTACAGGGTCATGTCCCAGGCCAAAAGGGCGGGTTTGTAGAAATTCGTGACGCCGTCAAGAAACCACTCTGGAATACCGATCTAGTAGAAGGAGCGTTGGATCGACCCCCCTTGCCAACCTATGAGTATGCCAACGATACATTGGAAGGCACCGATGATGAAATCATTGATGGATCGGGGGCAGCAGGGCACGAACTATTCATGCCCATTGGCAACGAGGATCCATTTGATCCCGATTACCGACATACCGTCGAACAACTTCCTGCGGATGATTAAACAGTCTAAACAAAGTAGGCCTATTTTTGGTGGCTGCGTAGTCCGTAGACGATGACGAATTCGTAGCTGGTTTGGATCCATTCTACCCCTCTTTGACAGCAGCAGAACGAGTCCGTGTGTCTATTTCTTGCAGGCTGTAGGTGCATTGGGATGGCGCATTGAGGACGACGAGGGCAGGTCGTATCACGGAGAAACCTCAGCACACGAAACCCAGCCTCCCAATTGATATTGCCACAGATGCAGGGTTACTAAAAAAATTGGCTGTCTACAGTATTAGCGTACAATGTATTGAGCGAATAGCTAATGGTTCGTAGCAGAGAAAGGCTTCTCTACCACGATCATGCTAGGGCCGGCCTGGTCATCCGTCATGAAGGTGAGTGTATTGAACCTCTTGATCCTCGCAGGTCTTCAGAGGAGCCCTCACCTACATCAGATACATCATCTAAATTGAAGAATCCTGACGTTTCTTCGGTTTCGTTCTCGGATGTGAAGTGGCATAGTGCCGGATCTGAAAGCTCTGAATTGGACAATTTTCCACCAGAATGCTCGGGAAGTGGTTCCAGGCCCTTATCCTCAGCGATGGGGGTCAAGGGAGACTGCGAAGGTCGAATATTGTCGTTATCAGCGCTGTGGGACTCCAAATGATCATCATCGTGAAAAGAAGCTTCTGACGAATCCTTGCTGGGATTTTCATCATATAGAACGGTGGAAAGGTTCATTCGACCCCACGACGCTTTGTTGTCGGAGAGAACGTCGTCTCGTTTAACAATTCCGGTGTCCTCTGATTCTGATTTCGGTCTAATGGTATGTAAACTCCCGGTGGTTTCAAACGTTGACTGCGTTACCAACAGCACAGCACCAAAACGACGAGGCATTGATGAGGTCAACATGTTGCTCAACCCGATGGCCCCTCGACGTTACAACGAAACACTGACGTACCATACTAATTCCAGCCCACGAAGTTTTCTCACCGAGTACATCCGCCTCGATTGAAGCTCTTGATACTCGTGCCACCTCGGCCTGGCTGCCCTCTTGCGACGCTGCACTCTCCAAAATAATGGGCGGTATTCTCAGGTCAGAGGAGGACTTTCGCTTGATCATCGGTAATGGCTCAGGAGAACCTGCGGGGAAAGAAGGTGCGGCCAAATGATCTGATCCATTGCCGCCATTGAGACTCCTGTCGCTGCTGTTATGGCTGTTAATGCTTTTTGACAACCATCGGCTGGATCCTTGCTTGTACGATCCATCCATGTTGCTTCTGTAGGAAGAATCCATGCGGCTTCCAAACATTTGCCTATTTGACGACATGCCTGCAGCTCTCGAATACTGTTGAACTGCATTGCTCACAACGGATTTTACGTCCTTGCCCTCTTCACCTTTTGGACCCCAATGCACTGAGTATATCAGGTTTCCGAAACTGTTGATGCCGCAGCAAGTTCAGACCGAGTTAGTACATAATCGCAGGAGACACGATTACCAATGAGCAATCAAGAGTCACGATCAAATCTTACATGAGAGCCACAACTGCTAGGTCATTCCTGGATTTTGCAAAGACGGAGGAAGCGGTAAGTCAGGGATTTCGAGCACCTCTTCCTTTTCGGCGGTCCACTCTTACATCCAGATGATCACACAGCGGACAAAGAAACCTGTTTGGGGATCTGTCCCGAGCATGACTAATATTGGAACACCAACGACAAAGATCTGTCGAATGGGAAAAGAGGGGAATGAGTTAGTCGAGAGCACGTCGTACTAGATAGGCATTTGCATCGCATGGACTGCCCACTGACCTGTAGATTGGATATCATCGCGATCCTGCAATAGACCGAAGAGGCAGTCGCGGTGGATGTGTTCCATGGTTGGTGTGAGAAACCGTGAACAGGAAAGGGACAAAAAATGAGACACATGGCACTGCTTTTGTTGCGTGTTGTGGTCCAGAGAGTGACTTACGAGACGTATTTCCCCTCTGAAAACTTTGTTGGGATAGATCTACTGACGTAGCACATGTAACACGCTGTGCCCAAGAGGCACAGATGCAAAGCAGCGATCAAACCAGCAAACACCATCCATTGGTCTGAATTGCCTGGCAAACCAAGTGAGTAGGGAGAGATTGGTATCAGTCCTGATTCTGTGAATTGAATGCCTTTGTCTCGACGATTGCAACCAACCAACTTACAATACCCGACTGATTCCAAAGCTGCTCCAAATTGATCTTCGCTGAGGACTTTTCGTTCCCACTCCAATGGGTCCACCACAGTCCACACGATGAGTATGGTGACATCCAATGCCAAGACCGCCCCGATGACACAAAATGTTTCTTTGAATGTGACAATGTTCCGTCGCATGTCAATGGCGCTCTTGAAAATGATGAAAACCCGTCTAATCTTGGCAAACAGAGTGCCGAATGTGATGGAGAACCCTACCGAGTACATCCACGGAATCGCCATGCATGCGGCCACAGGTCCGTCTGCTTCGTCTTGCTGTGCCAAAGGGATAATGGTGCAGGTACTAATCAAGCATCCCAGCAACACCAAATTCAAAAAGAAGGGCTGTGATACCCGCACTTGTGTAGATTGTCGTTGGTATATTAACCACACACCACATCCGATAATGGACAGTACGTTGACTCCCAACATGGCATATGCCATAGCCAAGAGCGTAGCGGGGATCAGATTGGTATTCTCTGCCACTTCGACGGAACAATCATCTCCGGTCCATTTGGTGGACGAACAGACACAGACGCCGTTGGCATCGGCGGAACCATGATTGGGATCACAAGGCAATTCGCAGGCATCTCCGGCGGTTCCCACCGGACAGAGTGCCTTTTGGAAATATTTACTGTAGAGTTCATCGAGCCTCGAGCTCGTGACGGCCGCCAATGCCCATCGGTTGAGAAGGATCAAAACAATTGGGTCTAGTCGATAGCTGCGTGCCCATGCAATGTACTTTTGATGCCAGAACAAACGAAACGTCGTGTGTGTGAGCGCCACCGCCATTCGGACAGCCCACAATTAATTAAGTTAGTTGTGCTCTACGTACCTGTGTATTAAACGTTTCTTTGGTCACTTCCAACTGGGGATCCCAGGCTGCTCGATAATACAGCTGGAAGATGAAGATAGAAAAACGATAACCGTATGTATGTGAGCTACCATACATGGTAGGATTGATGGGCGTGAGTAGTAACACACACTACACTTACCTGTAGTTCGTCATCTGCGTAAAGGACGCACTTTTCGGCCTTTAATTCGAGCAGGCAATCGTCCTGGGAGGGACACATGAGGTAGTTAATCTTGGGATACCTTGCCTTGACGACCCCCGCGTAAAAGGTGCCATCCTTGAGACAGACCCATGCCCGTGCTGCTTCGGCTTGCGAGAGTGTGGAGAAGTCCAAGGTGGTCTTGTCGACGTATTTGACCGTACTAATGGACGATCGCAACCAAGGGGGAGACATGTCGGCTCGTAGCGCTCGATCGGGTGTGGAGTAAAAGTTGGCCACCATCACGTCGAGTTGGCCGCAACTTTCTTGAGGGTTTTCCGCCACTTGATGGCAATCATTGGCTACCAGGTCAAAAGAGGCACCGTATTGAAGCGGTGCCACACTCAGATTCCAGTTCAGTGTTACGTTGTCGGCGGCAGCAAAGTCGACCAGGCTCTCCAGCAAGTCCTTCTGAAAGCCGCCATAGACGACGGTCCCATTGGGTAGCTCTTCGACGGTAGCAAAGGGTGGCGCGTGGAACACCGCAACTCGGAGGTTTATCACGGAAGGGAACTTGGGGAGGGGAGGAGGTGTGGAAAACGCTGCCGAGGTGTAAGAAACCGGTTCCTGTTCTGGTTCTACCAATACCATCTCAAACTCGGCTGCGCTACAGCGGACTACTAGTGAAGGCCACCAGCAGGCAACCGACAAGACATGGAGAAGCAGCACCCATCGTTGTCTCATGGCGACTTGATTTGACTCAACTCGACTCGACACCTTGGATAATAACAAGTAGTCTAGGTTGGCTTTGGCTCCTTCTACGAGCCAGCTAGCCTTCTTTACTACAAGTATGCCCTTCAAAACTTGGCGGTGGCCGAATGAATGCTTGCTTGGCCAAGGGGCCCTTGTCGCGTCTTGCTTGAATCTACTAGACTAGTCGGATCGAGTGGACTCACTGGACTCAGGTACCGGTACAGGGGACTTCCACCACGAAGGTATTTACAGTTCGCCGACAAAAAAGGCATCCTCCCAAGGAACATCTTGCGACAGCGATGAGAACAAATTTCGTAATCATTGACCTCATGGTTAAGATACTTACTAGATACAAGTATTTGACCAAGAACCTTTGTTGGGATAGACTATGTGCCTCTTGGGCAGAGGGGAACAGACGCAAAGCATATATCAAACCAGCAAATACCATTTCCTAGCTAGCAAACCAAGTAAGAAGTGAGAGATTGGCATCACTCATTCATGAGTCTGTGAAATTGAATATCTTGAGGAATACCGGTACCTCCAATTGTTCAAACGCAGTGCGCGTACTAGCATTCATAAATGTTTTCTTGGCATAAAACAAATTGTTAGTCTCAAATACTAGCAAATCATTATAGTAATAGTACAACTGTGGATTGGTACATACTGTACACCATTAGCTCAAGCACTGCATGTACAGACGTACAGACTACTGAAATATTGAAAAACACGGAGGAAAATGACATGTATCTTCAAACAAAGGTGTAACACGTTCAGATATTGTTAGTGGATTGCTCAGCGAAGCTCGTAGAATCTGTACTTTTGAATCTACAGTAAACGAGTTGCAGTCATGGTTCTGTATTATTTGAAAAGGGCCTCTGCCTTTGCAAAGCTGCAAAGTCACTAAAACAATAAGTACTCTAAATCCAGCTGCAACGTCATCAGCATCTTGAATACGTATAATATTACAGTACTGTAACGACGCGCCTATCGTGAAATTTTTTAAAATGGCTTCTTGGGAAAGTTTCAATTGTTGAACTGCGACACAATGGTGGATGTTCAATTGATTTGAGATTTAGAACTCGTGGTTCGCCTTTCGCCTGCTCGCCTTCGGTCATAATTATCCAGGATCCAAGAGCAGGTTAAAGGTGAGGCGGAGAATTATTTAGCCTGTCGGTGTTCGCAGGACTTTCTTCTTGGACAGTTCCTTTTATTTTGTGCTGTTCTGTGCTGTACTATGGATAAACATATTCTCATAATAATATGTACTCCTTCTGAGCTTCTTACCGGTATTAATAATGCTGTAAGTGACGGTAATTTTCTGAACTTCTCCTTTTATCGAGCTTGGTCTTGGACGCTCAGCTGTCTCATACGGAGTTGTCTCGAGTCTTGAGTCTCCGAGTCGAGAATTGAATTCTCAAAGTATCCACGTCTGAATGATTGTTGCTGGCGCAGAGTCAATGAAAAGCGGAGTGTGGATTTGGAGGATCAAACGAACCTGATATCGGGGTCTATGCGTTTGGCTTGCAAAATGTGGACCACTCAAATGATCCCCACTGCAACTTGGTCCGACAAGAGCTAGCAAGCAAGGTTTGCACGTCCCGAATGACGACCAGCCCAAGTCAATGCGGACGTGGCTGCCGAGATTGCACGGGCGTTCCATGAACACGCCGGTCTCATTTGATGCTTTATATGCCAGCTACATCCAAGAGACTGAAAACTATCTTTAAAACGGAACTTACATGCAAAATGGTCGCGTGCCAGAGCAGAATGACGGTCGTAAACGCTGTGGCTCGACTGTACAATGGGGCACACATCAGAGCGCATTTGTAACCTTTTCGTCGTGCGAATGGAAGTGTGTATTATTCGTTTCCACTGGGTTGTTCCTGGGGGGGGGGGGCACATAAATCTGTTAAGCAAAGCCACGGTAGTCTTGCCACAGAGTTGGAACACATCGGTGCGGTGGAGGCGCTTCGTCCTATCTCGATCTCGTGCAGGTCACTTTGTCTGTAACAAGCCAACCGCGGCAAACAGCCTTGTCGCGGATGCCCTACATGACGCCTATGATCAAATCCTTGTTGAGCGTCATGCGCATCCTTTGAACACACTGGCACACATTATGGAAATCATTTCCTCTGTGAAACACGTTTCTCAAGCAATTTCTTCGACTAAAAGTACACCCCGAATGATGTATTTACGGTTGGCTGAGGCTCTGGACTCGGGCTACGGTTGGGGCTTTATGATGGGCCCTTCTTTCCCATATCAGGTTGCCATGGAAGTTCATGTACTACTATCCATCTGCTCTGAGAACGTGGTGATTCCTTTCAAAACAAAAGGCTTCTGTCGGCAGGCACGGACAGTGGTACAATCCGTGTGCTGTTCGAAGCCGGCATTTGGACCCTGACTTGGCTGAGGCTGCTACCAAGAAGATCGAATCATTATCGGAAGAAGAGACCTCGAGGGACGAGTCATTTGTGTTGCGGCCTTCACGGTACATGCCGCTATCGATGTACCGGTATCATCCTGCTACTGCGTGCAGACAAGATCAAGATCTCCAAGCAAAGGAAGACCACTTCTACCACTGTTTGATGCGTGGTGACTGTGCCACCCGCGACTATCCTTCCGAAGATCGAAGACACACTTTTGTTTCGTCTTTGTACGCTTTTGACTCGACTCAAATCGCTTTGCTCGTTTCTGCCCGCCTCAAATAAAGGAACGAATGATTAATCAATCGGTATAGTAAATGTTCAGGGAGCTGTCTTTCCCATCTTAAAAAAGTTCATCCCACAACTGACTATTTTGCTTTTGTTCTTTCCTTCAAAATCGTTGCCTACTGCCCAGTTGATTGTAGTTTGTTGCTTGCAGTCTGGGCCCTTTGGAGTGTGCGCACTTCTAAGCGGGATTTATCATGGAACCACCGGGTCTCAATCCACCGACGCCTTGTGGAAAGGGACCCCTCATATCTGGATCGATCCCTTGATATTCCATGGTGCCTCTGTCTCCGTTGAAATCTTCGGATCGCTTGTCTTTTACATAGAGGACTTCCCCACTCAGTTCGTCTACAATATTTTCAAAATCTTCCAATTCGGACTCATCTGCGACAGTGACATGGGTAATCTCTGGCATGCGAGCGTTCAACCACATGGCAGCACGGCCCAACACGGTTTCTCGTCGATGCCAAAAGGCTCCATCCAGCGTCAGAATCACCTCGGGTCCAGCGACTTCCACAAATTCGATCTCTCCTGTAATTCCATAGCTCGCTGGCAGTTCGTGACAACCAAACATTTGATTGCCATAATCGGATTCCACAAATTCCTCGAGACACATCCGGACATTTTCTTCGTCCAAGGGCATGGTATCCACCACGGCATCGCTTCTCCAGTCATCATAGATATTGGCAAATAGCAGCCGAGTGGAGGATCTTGTCGTGTGGTGGCGAGAAACCGTCCAGCCCGATGTGCCATGCAGCAGCTGCAGAAGCAGAAACGCTGCCACTCTCGCAATAGAGTGTTGATTGCTCATTCTCGTAAACCACAAACTATACTAGCTGGCTAATCGTAGCTATCATGCGTCGAACATGGAAAGAGGCAAAAGGATAAAAAGTCAAGAAAACCAACCAACAAAAAACCCAGATCCTCGCCAGTTCCCGTAGAAACCCAGCAGAGCTGGGAAAATAAAAGAGCGCACACCCCCGATTTCTGTGGCGATCGTCCTCCGGTACCGGTACCGGTACCGCTACTCTACCGGTACCGGTAGACCTCGTAGGAACAATAGGTCGGTGGTACCGGTACAGTCCAATGCTAGTACCGATAGGTGGCTAGTAGGTTTCAGAAAGAAAAGCCTGAGATCCTTTCCAACCAAGCTTGGGAGGGCTAGGGCATCAAAAGCTGGAGTTGAGAAATACTCAGTACCGTACCGGTACCTGACAAGGGATATTTGGGTCCGTGAGCCGTGAGGTTCTCAATAGAGACTATCTGCCGAACCCGCCACAAGCTTTGACCACAAGGACAACCGCTACATGTAAATGTGCTCCTGGAAAGTGAGTCTACTTTTGCAGTATCATCTAGTCTCCGCGTCTCCGCCTATCAGTTCCAGGATCGAGCTGTCGACAATCTGACTTTCTATTCTAGCTGGCCATGGTAACCACTGGAGCGCAACATTCTCAACTCTGCTGGAGAGTGTCCCAATCCACCCCTCAGGAATTATCCACGTCTCCATGGCGGTTCCGATCTTTGCCATTGGTGTCTGTTTCGACATGCTTTTTGCTGCCTGCTGTACACATGAAAGCCTCGCCAGCTGGCTCTTCCGGCATGGACGAGGACGCATACGGGAGCTACATCGCGGAATATCGAGACTTCGTGTAACGGGATACGTGTACTTCCTTGGCGGACCGGGCTTTGCCCGCAACCACTTCATGCGTGCATTTGGGCAACACAATGGAAGTGACCCAAGAAGACTTGATTCAGCGAGAACCAACGCAGAGCTATATCAGCATTGATGACTCGAGTGAAACGGGATATACAAAGAACGATGGCGATATTTCCAGGAGTCTGCACCCCCAAGTTGAGGCCAAGGACCACCTAGTTGAGACGAAGAATCGTCATGTCCACAGACTGACCATGGCCGAGAATCTGCAACAGGAGAATGCAGGAGAGAAACATTGTGTTTGGGGACAGCGAAGTTCCCACAAAGGCTGGCTGCAGGGCAAAGAAATTCACCAAGAAAACCGGGAGACGGATTCTAGCAGGACGGCTTCTGCAGCGGAACCTGAGACGTCAAAGTGCGAAGAGGGAGCTCGTAGGCAAGAAATCAAATGCCCCTTGTGCAGGCGGTCCTTTCTGCCCCTTTAGTTATAGCTGCCATGCAAAGTTTGGAATCGCAGCAGCGCAAGAGCGTGTGATAGAGCAGCGGCTACTACTGCTTGCACTCTACCGGTACCTACGGTCCAGACTGGAGTGAGCCCACAGAATAGACATTTAAAAAGCATCGTTGCGTTGATAGCGTTGATAGAAATACGTTATAATCACCAATACGCTCAATCTTGCGCAATAGTAGACAAGCGAGGGGGAGGTGGCTTGATGTCTCTGAAAACCGACGACATCGTGAAAGGGCAAGAGCTGAGGGAGACGGATGGATTGCGTGGGCACTTCGTGGTTTCATGTGTCTCTGCTTCTGAAATTGAGCCAAACTGACGATAGCAAAAGTGGCACACAACAGTAGACAAGGATTTCCCCTTTTGCTTGTTGGACTGCACACTGGCGCCTTTGGCAAGTTTCTTTGATGCTTCTTCCTCTTCGTCAAGTGCCTGGTGAATCTTCAGCGAGGTATCCACAGCTGCTTCAGTTTCTGCCTCCACTTTGTAATGCACGTTAACGGTGTCAACGACCACTGGCCCTGTTGCTCCAAGTCGGTGAGCTCGACTGGTGATTTGTTCCAATAGGGCTGCGTCATCAATGGGTTCCAACAAGAATATATGTGTAACAAAGGACAAGTCAAGCCCATGAGAAAGACCTGCATCAAGTGAAAGAATGAAAACGTTCTCCTTGATGATCTCCAATGGAGCCTCCATCAGCCTGGGCCCAGTGTACCATCTTGAATGATTGTGATACCGCCCACAATGTTGCCATTTGCTGATTTCCACCTCCATGAAACGAGAGCCTCCATTGCTCTCCAATGATGGGAGTGGTCCAAAATACCAGTCGGAACCCAGATAGCGATCCTCCTCTGCCCGCTCCATGCACCGATCGGCCCCAAACTCTTCCCAGACCCCTTGGTCCCTTCTTTTCACCAGCAAGGGGTGTGGGTCTTGAATATCAACAAGTACGATATCCTTCACTGCCCATACTCTGCGGTTGGATCCATACTCATCATATCCAGCGCCATTCAATCGCTCCAAAGGCACATTCCCAATAGGAGGAGGCAGAGCCCTGATGATTCGTTCTGGTTCGACAAGGAAGCGGCAGCTGTCATCATCTGGCTTCACCACCTCTAACAAGAAGTTCTCGCACTTGGGTTCGCGTCTTTTTGCTGTGCCCACTGCCTCATTAAGAAACGAACAAACTGGACAGCGCCTGCACACTTTGCGGTTGTGCCGGAATCTAGACAACTCGGAGCTGCAATCATAGCCTTGCTCATCATACGCCTCGGCAATGTTTTCGTCTGTTAATTTCTTGTATAGGGCCTCTGTCACATCTCTTAAGTTGAATTTGTTGGAGGAATAGACAACAGCCTTTATGGGCCGACGGTCCTTGTGCGCAAGGGTATTGCCCCGGGGGTTGGCTTCATTTTCCGACAACATCTTCAAAGGACCCTCCCTGTTTTCTAAAGGGCCACCTCGAGCTTGAAGGGCATCCTTGGCTTGCTGGATCTTCTGCAGAATGTGTCCTGCTTGGGCACCATCCACTAGAGCCTGAAACTCGTCAGTTTTTAGGTATTCCTGTAGGAGTGTCGCGCTGCTCGCTACATTGTCCCGGATATTTGATTGAACTTGCATTGGGATTGGGAGCTCAACATCACTCTGAACGAAGTCAGGTTTGGGCAAATTGATGTCCTCTTTCTTGTGGATTACCATGACGCCATGGAGCACTTGGAGCAATGCTTCTCGTCCTCCTAGCTTCTTCTGCAGAAAGGGTTCTTTCACAGTGGCTACCCATGTGGTTTTGGCTCTTTGTTTCTGCTCAAGTTGGTTGTTGCCTGCCTTCTTCATAACCCTCTTGTAGTCAAATACATAAGGCGAGGCTGATGTAGGTGCTGCTGGAAGCAAGGTCCCATAAATTGGGTGGCGCAAGAACAAGAGCAAGCGTTGTAACTGGTCCAATGCCTTGCTGGTGAATTGAGCATCATCCTCATCTCCTGTTGTTGGTGTACCACTTAGCACCCATCTTCTTTCTGCTGCAATCTGGTGGATGAACTGCGTCAAGCCATTTCCACCTTCATGTGTCCCTAGTTCATGGCCCTCGTCCACCACAATTCGAAGCCAACGCATCTGCAATAGCGTGGAAAGTGAATAGTCCGCTGACGTTCCATCAACGGCCAAATGGGATCGCTTTCGTTTGCCTCCCTGCACAGAAGAAACGCTTTCCATGCGTCCTCCTAGAACTTCTTTGTGGAACTCTTGCTCACACCTGCTAAATGTTGTCACTACGATCAAGTATTTGGAAAGCTCCCATGACAGCGGGAGCGGATTGGAACGCTGGACTCCTCCCAGGGGCATCTGAGTGTCTGCAATATCTCCCACACCATCCAAAAAGACCACTCCTCGACCCTCTTCATTGTTGCTCTTGGCGCGCTTTGATCCAGTGCCGTCTTCTCCTTGCCTCTGTTCGTCAAATCTTCCCTCTTTTGTGTCGGCAAAGATGAACCTATTCAAGTGTAGCTCTATCTGCTGATACCAATGCTCGAGGAGGGCATCTGGCACGACCAACAGTGTGGCACTAGTTGGGATCAAGCTTCTTTCCCAGGCCATGCGGCGTCCTGCTTCGGTCGATTTGGTTTTTCGATGTGATTTGATCATTCCTGCTTGGAGCTGGATCAAATTCTGACGAAACAGTTCCTTCTGAGCACTGGTGGCATGGTTGTTGACGGTACGTTTGACATAGGTCTCAAAATCCTTCAACTGTGGAAACCTCGCAACAGGGAATGGCGGTTGCACATGTTCAGCCATTGCCAAATAGATTTTGCGGAGAGGTCGAAACGGGGCAATCGCTACCATAACATCTCCTGCGCAATAGGGGTTTTGAGAGAGACCTTCCCATCCTTCTTGGATCTTTTGCGAGTCCCAAAATTCCTTGGGGACAGTTGGTCTCCTTCCAGCGGTGGAAATAATCAGGGCAAGAGTCGTGATCGTCTTTCCTAATCCAGGAGCATCTGCCAAAATTCCACCTCTAAGAGCACCGTAGTCTTTGTTGGCATTCTCAGCCTTGTGCATTGCTTGAAGACTGGCCAGCTGGTGAGGGAAAAGACCATCATAGCTTTCTCTGTTTGCAGCTCGGTCTGACAATTTTTTGCTCCCTTGAAACAATCCTGGAAAACCCGGAAAGGGAACCTTATAGAGCCGACCACATTTGCTCCCATGGTAGTCAATTTCCTGCAGGTATTGTTGCATAGTCTTGGAAACCACTGGCAACTGCATAAGATCACGAGGAGTCAAGTAGTCAAAGGCATATGGCGGAGCCCGAGAGTTGACTCCCAGCATGGCCAGCAAGAGCAAGTCTTGAGATACATCCACATCATTTTGGATTGTCCCTTCTGGATCATCTCGATGCGTGGCAACAGGCATCGCATCAGTTCGACCAACACCAGAGCGAGTCCTTCGTTCCTCCGCCATTCTCACAAGTGGAACTGCATACGTTTGACCTCGAGGAGAAGCACTCTGATCCCCTAGCTACAAGTACCGGTAGCGGCTTTTTTGAAGAATATGAAAGAGGCACAGTGCACAACGATGAACTCTGCCAACTCGATCAAAACTCAAGAAAAAGAGAGGAGCAACGGCTTGAATGAACGCACGACTGAATCTTTACAGATCACGAGCGGGATTCACTTACGGGTTGGATGTGCGTCTACCTGGTTAGTTTAGCTCCAACCTTTTCGTACCAAAAAAGCTCGGATAACGCAAGCTTGCATTCGTGACTCGTGACCTTTCGTTCGGCGACGGTGTAAATCCCTTCGTTCATCCGCGGAACATTCTTCGAAAGAGAAGCCTTCCTGCTCCACGAAAGCAAGCGTTAGAACGAGCACGGTGGAGAAGATGACGATGAAGATAGCTGAAGATGGGCTTTTTGAAGCCCCTTTACAGGCGGTGAACGGAGCTACTAGTACATCTACCGTATCCTCGACTGTACCAGTACTAGCTAGCTACCTCGAGCTCTCCACAAGGAAACAACGAAACGAAAGTTGATGAATTCCAAGAGGGAGCGCTGGAAAGAGCAGTAGGGAAGGCAACCCACTGCGGATGCCTTTACGCCAGCATACATGAAAAACAGTTGAAACAGGATACGATTTGCAAAAGTAGCAAATCGATTTCAAGTATACCGTACTAATGATTAATTGTAATAGGGCTCAATGAATACTGACACGATGTTCGTGAAAGACTGTGTACCCACGTGAATATGGAGACATAGAGGTCATACATTTTCTTGGCTTTGGACATTGGAGATTCGATTCATTTCCCGTTGACGTTCTCGTCCTGCATAGAGAAGTGCCCCAATGATGTAGCTAGCTCGTTCACTGATTGCCTGAATGTGGAAGTGGTCTGCCAAGCGGGCAGTTCAAACGTTCAAACCATCAGTTCGTGGGAGGAAAGTTGGCATTGGTGCCTCTTCGGTTTCGTTGCGGAGGAGGAGCAACCAACGAAGATCTTGTTGCCTGGACTGGCCTCTCGCCAAGCAAATCAAGGGCATCGTCAATCACGTTGAGGAGGTAATCCTCCCTGGATGCGGCGGGGGCTGGGCTGTAAGGAGCCATGATCGCCCGCAAACTTGCTCGAGGCAAAGGAGAGCTGGTAGATCCAGTGTTCATTTCCGTCCAAGCTCGTCGGGATTGCAGATCCAAGAGACTCATTGTGGGGGAGACTGGTCGTCGGGTCACTGTAGGGGAGGTGCTGCTGGTCTTGGCGCTTGGGGGTACCATCTTGAACAATTTGAGTTGCTTTGAAGGATAGATAGATTAGAATGTATTGAACCTTGTGCAGTTTTGTGTGCTTTATTAAGCTGAGGACCCTGGTCTTGAGATTGTGAATGTTCCACTTTTGTTCTAGTAGACTTACTTGAAACGAAAGTACCGTGGGCGCAAGCTACTGGTACCGGTAGAGTAAGAGGAAGTGCCAAGAGCTGTGCCAAGCAAGTCTTTGGAAGCGGCGAGCTGAAAACAAATAACCACCGACAAAGATCTACGGAAAGGCTTTATGAGGCTTATGCTCCAACAAATGCTGGTATTATGTTTTAAGAAACATCAGAAACACCCTTGCTTCTTCTGTGGTGAAGGAAGTTTTTAATAATGGGAGAAAATCCAAACTCAAGGGAGACATCCAAAGCTGAGTGTGGTGACTTACTTGAATTCTCGAAATAAATGCCAGCCCAAACACACTTCCAATGTGCAAGGGAAATCTGCCTGAAACTTTCTGATAAAGAAAGCTTTAAGGAGATCCTATGTCTGGATTCTTTTTCCAATAGACTGTTATATTAATAGTGATTATGAGAATCGGAAAACCGGGTGTATCACGATTGCACTGCACAGCTGCACAGCTACTGCAGCCAAGACAGATTCAGATTATCTTCCAGGATGATCCAAGATTTCCGATCTGATTAGGGCTCTTTTACAGCGACAAAAAGAAGATGCTCAGTTTGCTGTTGTGTAATGTGTACAGTACGGTACAGTACAGCTATTATTGTGCAAGAACAGGTACTGCAGTGGAACAATGGAACAGGAATGAGGGTATCGGAATGTGGCACTTGTAGCACCAGCTACCGTAGCCTACACGCTGTAGCTCTGAGCTACTGATCTAGCTAGCTAGCACAGGCAGGTGCTGGGGGTTGAAGAAGTAATAAAGTAACAAGGTGTGGAACCCGATTGCCGATTGCCATGCCAAGGCCACGAAACCATCTCACATACATGTATGTACATCTCCCCAGAGCCCAGAGCGGTTGATGTTCGATGGAGTCATGGAGTCAGGATTTGGTACTGGAAATTGGCACTTGAGTCCTGGTGGTACTGAGTAGGTCTAGTGGTCTAGTAGCTATCCACGCCATATGCCATACCGCCGGGTAGCCACGGGTCCAAGCTTCCAGAATTTCAATGCCGTGATCCTACTGACAACAGAGTGCTGCAGAAGCCCAGAAGAGAAAGCACACCGAAATCGTGATGTTGATTAGCCAATGGGCTTTGGGAAGGAGGCCGCTGGAACGCTGGAACATAGTTTTTAGTTTTATGATGTATGTGTGGCAGCTGCTCCTGAACCGGTAGAGGTAGCTACTGCCACGAATGCGGCACCGGCAGCTGGCAGCTGCCATACCGTATGCCAACGGATTGTTGGGGCCTTATTACTGAACAGAGTACCTGCCAGATTGATTCGATTCAGATGTATGTTGTTCACTACTCAGGTCGATAAGAGCCACATACTAGTACATAGCTAGCTACATCATCTTCCGAGCTGGGTGCTGCGAATGCTGGATTTTGCTTTGCTCTGCACTCTGCAACTCTGGAAGAGAGAAGAACACAGGAGCTAATAACAGAGCGAGATAGCTACTCGAGTAAGTTAGATAACCAAGAGGCAGGGCAGAGGAGATGCAGAGGGCAGTATCAGTCTGCAGCATTGCTCTGGTGGCTCCATCGCTCCATCCAAGGTAAAGCGAAGGAATCCCGGAACCAGCTTTTCCCGGAGAGCCACAGCCCGTCCCGGGCCCAGCCATGGATAGCAAGCAAACGCGGTGTCAAGCTTTCAACTTTTTAACCCTTGCCTGTCTTTTCTCCTGTTGCTGCCTCCTTTTCATGCATTGCAGCTATCGCATCCAAGCAACAGCAACCAACCTGAAAGATTCGATTCTATCACTGCAGGCAGATTCAACAATGAGCAGGCAGCCAATGTCCAAGAGCATAGCTATCCAACACGTCTATAATAGCTAGCTACCGGCGCCAGAAACTGCCAAAGCAGCAAACTTGGCACTGACCGATGCCAAAGAGCAAGACTTAGATCTAGCTAGTGAAGAGCAAGCATTTACCATGGTACATGTGGTCAGAAGACTGCTTTGTTCACCACAAGCCCAACCCGGCATTGCTCAATCGAGCCCAGTGGATCAATGCGACAAAGAGCGACGGTTCTAGCTAGCTAGTAGAATTGACCTACCGGTACCAGCTGGCTTACATTTGCTCCTTCTTTGACCCACACTTCCTCTAACTTATAGCTTCAAGATAGCGTAGGGCTCGAGTTTTCAGTTCCCAGTTTCTTGCTTCGAATGAATCGAATCTTCAATCGAATCAATCGGATTGAGTCGATAAAATCGAACGTTATATTATTCGATTGGATTCGATTTATCACTCAAATCCAACGAGTTACCGTCGAATTCAATCAAACATTCGGAAAGATTGAGATCATTCGAACCGGTACCGGTACCGGTACCGGTACGGGTGTCTGGAAGGCACCAGGTTTAACGTTGAACTTGACTTTCAGTTTTCAAAGTCGCGGTAGTCGCGATAGTCGCCAAAGTCGCGCACCGCGACTTAACAGCGACTATTTTACAACGACTATCGCGACTTCCGCGACTTTAACGCGACTTTTACGTGTTATTTACTAGTACTATTTCGCGACTTTAAAACGACTATTTTACCGCGACTAACGCGACTTTCGCGACTTAAGCGCGACTTTATAGCGACTATAGCGACTACCGCGACTATGAAGTATTTGGCGATGCTTCAACATGGCCGAAACCTGGTGCCTTCCTCTGATCTGGCCATGTTCGGTGCCGGTGGTACTACCGTACTGGAACCTTACCGAAAGTACGACCATCGCGACAAACCAACAAACCAACGCCTTGGTGTCCACGACCGGTACTACCGTACACAGTTACCTTAGATCAACATGGTGCGCAGAAGCACGCTTGGATGGATTCCCGACTGGATTCGATTCTGTCGAGCAAGCCACCAAAGATTCTTTGTTGGGTGGTGGTACGTCTGGCCTAATAGCACACATCCTGACATTAGTTAGTACCATCGAAGACCCTACTAGCTAGCTAGTGCTAGTATTGTCAGGGATCACTCAGACTTGGATGAGCACACGAGCACCCGGCTCCTTGCATGTGCATGTGTGCACAGAACGATAGAAGATAGGACCCATATTAGTGCCATCATATCTCACAAGCATCTGCACATAAAGTATCCAAAGCCATCACACAACACCAATACCACAGCCACAGTCCACAACACAATCCTTCAATTCACGACACAGATCACAGATCGCGAGCCAGTCACAATATCCCATAACTCTTGCGGTGGTGTATTCGCTTAACCAGACGTGTACTCTTAAGGACAACAGCAGATTATTAACAGAAGATCTCGATGTATATTTTTTCTTCGATGCCAAATCAAACAGCAACAAGCAACAATCTCTCCGCGGGTCTTGGACGAGTGTTACGCTTGGATTGCTGGTTAGCAAGGTGGTTCGTGGCCGTGCGGAGGGTTGTTGGCCCTGTCCTTTGCCTCTGTAAAAGAACAGCGAGAAAAGTATATTGCATTATGTCAAGATCAGACCAAACCGTAGCTATGTCGCCTATTACTCCTCCAGCCCTAGCTCATCTCCATACCAGGCGAGACGAGACGGTAGCCAAAAAAGAAGAGACCAATTCTTGCACTCTTGCCTATTGGAGGTTCAAACAGCCAGATGTATTGCAGGCTTTGGAGGAATTTGCCAAGTCGCAAGATTGGAATCGTGAGACGGCAGATAAAGAAGCGTGTATTCGAGAGGTGCAAGACTTGTTTACCAAGATGAACAAGGGAATGGTTCAGCAAGAGAAAGAATCTCTGTGGCGTGATGATCAGGGCCCTTCCCCGTGTGCGAAACAGTGGTCGGTCGTATTTGGAGGCAAGTGGGCTGAACGGCCGTGTTCCATAGCTGAGCAATTAGTGGATTTGCTTTGGAACGCGGGCAAAGAAGCCCGTGTTTATACCGTATCAAGGAGCACACAAATTAACTGGGAAGCGCAACCTGACAATGTGAAGCACTTTCCCAAACTGAATCTTGAAGAAGCCAAAGTGGGAAAGGGAGAGTTTGAAGACGTTCTAAACAAGGTTTTTGATGACTATGATGCTGCTTTTGCCAGTAATGGCCAAGAGGACAAGGAAAAAGTTCCCATTGTCTTGTACTTCACCCTGGCCAAGCACAAGGGCAATAACCTGCCCTTTCAGAGAAATATTCAGTCGGCAAATAATTTTGTGCAAGCGCTGGAAAGCGTCGTTCCGTCAAGACTTGTTGCCAAGAATATACCATGGAAAGTGGTTGTTACCGGCACTGACGCTACCTGCCCAAGCACCCAGCAAGACAAGGACTTGGGAATGGTCGAGGGTGTTGCTACCACGGCTCCTACTTACAGAGTGCTTCCGCATAACACTGTTTATGCTGCCTCCAAGCTTTGCCAGTTTTACAGCATTGCTGCTTCAGTGGCAAAAATGACCCAAACGGACGTGAAGCCATTGGCGTCTTCTCGCGAAGGGCACGATGGATCTCTGACAGCCATTGACAAGCAACTGCAAAATTTCGTCTTTTCGGCCGGGGCAAATGGGGCCTTCCAAGAAAACGACTATCTCGACGCCAAGGAGCTGGACGAGGTTTCCTTATACTGGACCGACGTGGCCGAACCGTCGTTGAAAAAACACCTACAGACGGCCAAGGGAATTTCCATTTGCTACACGCCGCTGCATCGGGATCCATGGACAGAAATGGGCTTGGACAAAACGAAGACAGATTCGCCCAAGAAAATCGTCATTGACAATGTCATGTGGCGTCTCCGAAATGGAATTTCTATTGATCGAGCGGCTCGAGCTCATTTGTAGCCCTTGGTGGGTGGGCGGATGGTTGGATTGATTCATCGGGTTCTCGGACGCTGGGGGTCCTTCTCTACGGCATTTATTTGATCTTTTGATCGCACCTTCATTCCAAATCCAAAGTTCATGCATTCGGGGAGTTTTCGGTTGCAACAATAGTGTAGAGATGCATGTTTCTTTTCCCTGTGGCCAGTAAATGATAAACCTGAAGCCGACCACCTGCCCGCAATCCTTTGAATTTTACCTTCTGTACTTGCACAAGCAAGGTGTGATTCCCGTTCCCTTGGCGATTTGAGTGTCGCCTGTTTCTTTCCCTGCTGTGCAATCAGTTTTCTTTCGTGCCCATTGTTCGTGTGGCGAGGCAACCTTTTTAGACGACGGAGTGATCTACCGTATGGTGCTGGTGGAGGAGCAGCGTTTATTGCACCCCGAAATCAGATTGGGGGCGCGTTTACCCAATACCGACCCCATGCGTTCAGCAACCACCGACCTGAATGACAGGCGAGGCGAAAAACACACACATAGCTTGCGATGATGCCGGTACATCGAGATAAAGGCTGCCCCTCCCCCTGTGCCAATTGCAGCTCGGGGACCACCAACAACGCCGCCCGCTCGAGCTACCGTACTCGCTAGGAGAGGAGCCGCTACCGGCACAGGTAAGCCCAGCTAGCTAGCTAGAGGTTACATGATGTACATGCAGCTTTTTTACAGCGGTCCCGCTGTCGAGTACAGCACTACTTGATGATCGAGTCGTGGGATACCCTTGGATCCAAGATGACGGCTTTCCGCGGGCTTCTAGAGCTTACATCTGGGGTGTGAATCCATTACAAAATGTACAGCTTTTCAAATGAATTGACTTAAGCTGCCGGTACATACCCCATTTGCCACCCTCCAAAATGATGATGCCGCAATGACAAGTGACTTGAAGTGTCAAAGGTAACCACTCCCAGGAAGGTCGATGTACTGCAGTCGTACAGTTCCAGCTATGAAGGTCAGCAATCCCAACCAACACATCCGCTCTCCTCACAACATTGCAATCACATCCAAACCTCGTTGCATCTGGTGGTTCGTGTTGCAGAATCGAATCGAAGAATGTTGATAGAGAAGCCGTCCGTAGCCATGGCGAAGGTGCTTCACAAACTCTCCTCCAAGTTGAACTTCCCCCCTTCGACGATTCTCAAGACGGCGATCAACTACTGGCCGCCATTGCTTGGGGCTGGAGTTCGAGTCGTCAAACTGAGCAAAGATTTTCGCTACGCCAAGATCGCCATGCCGTTGCGATGGTACAATCGCAACTATGTGGGAACGCACTTTGGTGGTAGCCTCTATTCGATGACTGATCCCTGGTTCATGCTGCAGTTGCTCAATGTTCTGGGCAAGGACTACATTGTGTGGGACAAGGGAGCGAACATCGACTACAAGTCTCCAGGCAAGGGTTGCGTGACTGCCGAGTTCGTGCTGAAGGATGACTTGATCCAATCCTTGAGGGAATTGAATCCTGAAGAAAAGCGAGTGTTCGACCTTCCCGTGGAAGTAAAAGACAAGGGAGGCAATGTTGTAGCGGAAGTCACCAAGAAACTCTATGTGAAGCGAAAAGCCCAGCAACAGCAGCAACCGATGCCGCGTTCAAAGCTCTGAGTATCACTCTTCCGCGTGAACTCCTGGCATTACATATCTATGCATAATGCTCTTTGTTTGTGATTGGTTCAATTGACAACCATAAACCACCATTATTGTAAACCAACCCGATCTTTACTATGACACACCACCACAATCATGCGAAGTACAAGAACGACACATAGTCACTTCCGGGTAGCTAGTTCGTTAGCATGGTCTGGCTGCGTTGGCTCGAAAAGACCAAACGTGGCATTGTTGAAGTCCGATAGAAGCTAGAATGAATGAATCGAATACAACTTCTACGCCAGAGGGTATTCTAAATCATTGCTAGTAGTAGATTGCTTCTTTCTGGAATCTTTTAATGAAAACCATCATCCACAGAAAGAGATTTTTACGTGTCGATTGAGTTTGCTTGACCGAGTGAACTTGAATTTCGTTGTGTATTGTGTCTTGATAGTATAATTCCTGAATGCCCCAGGTCATGACTCGCCAGGCAAACTACTAGGACACCAGGGACCTTACAACAACAACTTGGGCTCTTCTTCCTCCCCACCTTCACCACTCAAGTCCACGGGGATCAAGATTTGCGAATCTTCATTTCCGGCTTCTGCTTTTGATGCTTCCCAATCATCGCTCCTTCCACCTGGTTGCTTTTCTTTTTCCATGGCAACCTTTTTCCAGTCTTCAGCCGTGGAAGCGCTGTTTTGACTTTCCACTTTCATTTCAGCTCGTTTGCGGGCAGCTGCCAAGTAGTCTGCTTCCGAGGTGGGATATTTGCTCCTTAACTTTCCCATTTGTTCTTGTACTGCGGAAGCATCCAGAATTAGCCCCTCGGGTTTTTCTTCTGGTTGTTCTTCGGGAGAGGACGAGAAGAGTGCCGTGTTCTTGCCGACAACAACTTGTGGACTGACAAAGGCATCAGCACGGGGTGCAAGGCATGCCGCCGACAAGAGAGCGAGTGACAAGAGCAGCTTGTTCATGGTGGAATTGGCTCACTACGGTATTGACTTGACAGAACACTTGAGAGCACGAAGAGTGTCTGTGGATGGTCGGTGGGTCGGTGGTGGGTGTTGGGTGATGAGAGGTTGGATCGAGTTGTGCGTCATTCGGTGATGTTTCAGACACGAACGTGTTCTCACGCTGGGGCGGGGCGGGGTGCGACCGTGGAAACCGATGGCATCGTGGAAACCAACTCCGGACAAACATTCCTTTCAAAAGAAAGAAAGACAATTCGTTTGCAACGGTTGGTAAATTGATAGAGGGATGTCTACCAAGGTTCCAAAGCAGCAAAGTTCAGGAACCACTATTTAGATTGCTTGCCTGGACAGTATCAGCAACAACAACAGCCTTGGACAGCACTGGTACCATGGCCTTGACGTGTCCGTGATTGAGGTTTGGTGCCCAAATCGCGATGATGGACCCATGAAGTTACAGTCTTGATTATGGTAAACGACGTAAGGGGTGCGATTGTCCTTTGGAAGAACAATTTATGCCCCCTGATCCCTGATCCCACGGAACCTACCGTACCGGTAACCGATAGTTCTAAATTTTGATTGTTCTTTGCTTCAGCCTGGCCCTTGCTGGCTTCCATAGATAATCTATCTACTCCAAACCCCCTGTTACAGAGTTCTGCCTGACCAGTTACCGAGAGCAAACCTACCTTGAGTGGGAGTTAGTTGTGGGTGGTACGTCATTCACTGATATTTGAGTCACGAGTTTCAACGAATGTTTGCTTCCACACAAAACCAAGCGATCCATCCGAGACATCAAAGGCCAAAGGTCCCATCGATCCTCTTGGTGTCATAATATTCAGAAGCCATACCGGTAAAGATGCGGCAATCAGCACTAGCTCTCCTCGCAGCTCACCTGTCAGTAGGCTGGGGCAGTGCTGCTGCCTTTGTCCAGCCCATCACTCCTTCATCTTCCTCAAGTTCTGCCACCACCGAATGCTACCGTTCCCACGGGCAAATATTGCGGCTTCAGCCCAGTTCTTCGCCCCGTTATGTTGCTGTGGACCGTCAGTTTTCACATGACATCGAGGATAAACATGCAAGTAACAGTGCTTCTAATGGAAGCAATGGCCATGTTCAATCGTTGTGGGTATTTGTGCACAGTCTACAACGAGAGCGCAGAGACAAGAGTTTGCTACTACAAAAACAGAAACAGCAACGGAAACCGCCGGTCAATAAAAGTGCATCTTCAGAGACTGCCAGAACCACACCATCAGTGGACAGGAGGAAACATCATCCTGCCAAATCTCTGGTATCATTTCTCGGCAACAATCGCTTTCAGCCACCATCCGACAACCATCTGCTGCCTCCAGAGGAAAGTGACGGTCTCTCCCAAACTTCAGCCACCAACAATGTCGAACCATTTTCCAGAGCTGTCGTACAAGCTATACGGTTAGCCAGTGAATTGGGAGATTACAAGTTGATTCTACATTTGGTCCAGGCATCCATTCACTATGCCAATGAATACCCCATTATCATGCCTCGTGTCTTTGGAGAAGCTATTGATGGATTGGCCAAGACTTCTGCCAATAGTGCCAAAATCAAACAATTGTGGAATCTTGGTGCTTCGCAACAAGCCCAAGCCGTCTTGACAGAACCGCTGGGAACTTTTGAATTGAATATCATGATCAAAGCCATGGCATCACGAGGAAAAATTAGAGCCGCATTGGACCTGTATCAGGAATGCACAAATAACCATCAAGACGACGACTCTAGTAGAATTTCCCCAGATCCATTTACACTATCGGCCATTTTCACTGCTCTTCAAGACTCGATCGTTGACGATCAGGCAAACACAGCAACACCAACGAGTACCCCACAACAACAAGCGACAAAACGAGACAGCCCACCATCACGAGCTGTATGGTCGCAATGCTGGCAGTGGAACGAAGCCACCCAATTGCTTGAATCTTATCTCGCACAGGGAACATTTCCGCCGTTGAACAATCACGTCTTTTCTTCCTTATTGAAACTGAACGATCGAGCCTCGCAGGTATATTCCCCGGCAGGTCACAATGGTCCCAAGGTGGCCCTATCTCTTTTGCATACGATGCACGAGCTCAACATTTCACCAGATGTTGTCACCTGCACTCTCATCATTTCCAATTTGGGATTTCAATGGAAAACAGCCGTCAATATGCTTTACGCCATGAAAACGACAAGCTTGGACGATGCCGATAGAAACAGCAAAACGGTCGATTCATTGTCGTGGCAATTGCCTCGTCCCAATGTCTACACATATTCTGCCGCCATTACCAATTGTGCTCATTGTCATCAATATCAAGCGGCCATGGAATTGCTCCAGGAAATGAAAAATGACGACAGCATTGATTCGCCCAATACGTGGGTCTACAACGCCGCGCTCTTGGCCACGACACGAAGTGATTCTGTCAACTTCTTGCTCCCAGCAGTAGCAACAGAACCAACCCAACATACACAAAAGTCACCCAAACAAAAACGAAGTCGAGAGAGATTGCTCATGGCCATGAAACTCTTACGAGAAATGCAACAAGAGGAGAAGAACGATAATTGCCGCCCCGATACGGTGACATACAACACGGTCTTGGCGACGTTGGATGGTATTGCAAGTCCCATGATAGAACCGCAATCGGTCAATGGTGAACTAGAGAACCAATTTGCTTCCTTTTTCGATGGGGATCCAACTGTATCGCAACAATACGAAGGGGATTACTTTGAAGAAATGGCACTGAACCGTCTCTTGGATGAAATGCAGAGTTCCGATATCAAGAGAGACAGCATCACGTACCGCAATGCGTTGCTAGCGGTACGGTTCTCCAATGACATTGGGGCCTCCGTGAACCGAGTACTTGATCGGGCATTGTTAGACACGAAAGCTCTGAGTGCGTCACCCAGGAACAATTTCGATGTGGAACACGATTCTCAGTCAAGCAAATCCACGCTTACGACTGCTACAAGAGCGCGGCAATTGGATGGGAAAGCAGCTGATGGCACGACGTTTGTACTTGATACAGCCATGGCGGTGCTGTCATCTCGGGGTGAAGTAGAGGCTGTCCTTGAAGTATTCAATCAACTGATGAAAAGGACAGGAACAGTTCAACAACGACCAAAGCCGAAGGTGCTTATGGAAAAGATCAGCTCGGCTCAAATACACCTGGTCCATGCCTTGGGCCGTGCCCGAGGATGTGCTCCGATCATTCCATTATTCCTTAACGCTACCCAAGGAGACCCTGTTGCTAGGTTGGCTGTCCTGAAAGAATATCCTACAATGGACGAGAAGCTCTTGCGATATACCCCAGACAGCGAGGCGCTCTGCTCATCGGCAATATCCTCTTGCTTGGTGGCAAACGATATAGAGAATGCACGTGCCGTGCTTGCCTTGATTAGGGAGAAAGGACTCAAGCCTTCCCAGTTGTCTCTCCAAGAGATTGCCAGGACATATGCCAGGCTTGCGGTCAACACTGCTTCAGACGAAGCCCGAAAAGACGAGGAAACGGACAAACAGCATAGGACAGATGAAGAAGTTTCCAACGACGGCGGTTCATTGGCCTTGATTAGAGCCAAGAATGCTTACAACATTGCCGTCAAAACACTATCGGATCCTCCAGCTAGCCTCCTTTCAACTATTGCAAGAACTTGCGCCACGCTTGGTCTGTGGACGGAAGCTTCTACTGTTGTGAAGCTCCTCCACAACCGAATAAAAGAAACCGCGCAGGAAAACATGGGATCTGCCGACGCGGCTCGAGCAGTTCTACCTGCATTACACCGGGCACTTTTACGGGCATCGTCAATCCAAGGCAATGTAACTGCAGCTCTGTCGTTTGTCGATAGCATTCAAAGGCTATCAAAGCACATGGCGTCGTCTGTCGAAAGCGAAAACGATAAGGAGGAACTGTTCTTGTATCAAGCATCAGGCAGCAATGACGACAACAAATCTGAACTTCGACAAGGTCTCACCTCGACCCTAGCACGCGACAATGCAATGGAGACAGTTGGCATGTCTGCCGAAGACTGGAAGCTGCTGCTGATTGCTGCTTCCAAGAGCGGGCACTGGCGTGTATGTTTGAGCACTCTTCAGTTTCTTCGTCCTTTCCTGGAGGAAACCCATCCTTCTTCACTTGGAAGTACCGTGGAGGAACGAAGTCGACGCTATGGGCACCTTGCGCCTGCACTGACTGTTGCCTTGAAGTGCTTAGAAAAGCGCAGCCAGTATGCTTGGGCTGTGCGCGCCATTGACGATTGGATCGAATGGTGTGGCCGACGTCCGCCAAAAGAAGCCGTCCTTGCAGCCATCCGAATCCTAAGCAAACGGTCTCGAGGCAGTGAAGTTAGCAGTCTGTTGGCACGATGTACTGTGGGCGACGGCGCGGGGCTCCTGTCGTACTCGAATGACGACAGCAGTTACGGCTTGGCTTTGCACGTGGGAGCCATCACAGCTTTGTACAAGGAAGGGATCTACGATGATGCCGATGACGTCTTCATTGCTGCCGTGCGGGGTAACTTTTTACCATTTGATCTCTACAGTGAAGATCTGGATGACGGAAGAAGTCGAATGATGCTTGACTTGCACGGTATGAATGTACCTGTGGCGCATTCAGCAGTCCGAGTTGCCCTCCAACAAGAGGTTGAAGTTGCCAGTTGGACAGATCAAATGAATGCAACGGGCAATGTGGGAACTGTATGGGACGATGACATGATCATAGTGACCGGCCGAGGTCGCAATTCCGCGCTGCGAATGCGCCCTGTGTTACGACCAGAAGTCCAGCGGATGCTCGTCGAAGAGTTTTACCCTCCATTGAGCACTGCATCCATTCCGGGAAATATGGGCGCTTTGCGCGTTCCCGCGGTGGATATCAAGAACTGGCTGTTCCATCAGCGACAGCAAAAGGGATCACGTATGTTGGCCGTTGCATCGGTTTTGCGGAATGTTTCTTCCATTGATCGCCTGCGACAATCTATTGCTAGGAAGATTCAAGTGGAACAAGAGGAGAATGCAAAATTGAACAATGACGACAGCGAGGAGTGAAGGGGTGATTGTGTTATGATGCAGTCTTCAAAGTAAGTGTGCATCTAAAACAAAAAAGGTTCCATCATCCATGCCGTAGCAAGGTACTAGTAGCCTGAGGACGACAACGATGCCTGTCATTGTCACAATTTGTTCTTGGACCTGATACGAAAACAACATCGTGTATTCCGTCCGTGCCTTTTGCTACCGGGTTTGGGCCTGGTGTGGACTCGACTCTGACTTAGTTGACTGCCTAGCTAGTAATTCATTCTGATACAAATGCTAGCTAGAAAACAAGCAAAGTTTATTGAGCTCTTTTAAAATAGGCAGCCAGCAGGCATTGGCGCCAGCACTCCTCCATGCCACCTACTCCTGTTTCTCCCTTTACAGTACCCTGCAAGACTTACTTCTTATCCAATGTTCTTGGTGGCCAACGTTTTTAGTTAAATAATTCTCAAGTCTTGCTTTCATTTCTCTTCCTTTTGCCTTTTTGCAGTTTGGGTTTCTCTACTCACAGAACTCCTTATTTGAAGTGCCTCTTGTTGCCAACTTGATGAAGCAGGCATGAAGCAAGCAATGCTCCCAAGGAAGTTTGGGTTTTCTAGAAAATCAGCTTGCTGTTCTCCTTCAAGTGAAATAGTTTGTTGTCACGCTCTGTCTGACAAGTTTCCATGTTTCTTGTCATGTCAGCACACAACTAGCTAGCTAGCTAGCAGATGTTTGTTGAAAAGCATGACAGTTTGCTTGTCCCTGGAAGCCATTTCATTTGCTCTCATAATCTTGGACACGTGTGTTTGTGCTCAGCTTTCCCTTCTTTTTGTTAGCTGTCATGATGTGGACTCCTGTGGTTGGTCGTTGTTGCTGTTGCTGCTATTGTAGTCCACTATTGTTGTAATGGGTACGTCTTGCCATGGCAAACCCTCCAAAGGAACTCCTTCGTCTGCATCCTTCACTGTTTTGGGAGCCAAGTGTGGGTAGTCACGTTCAATAAGTTCCATCACCCCTTGATATATTTTCCTATTTCCCAGTTCATTCAGATGCAACCCATCACTGAGGTACTGAGAATAGGCAGTCTGGTTGTGTCCTTGGAGCAATTCCCAAGTATCCAGGACGGCCAGTGGAGGACACGATGATGATTGTTGTAGTTGTTGTTGTTCTTGTTGTAGTAGTATTTGGTGTACCGCTTCCCGCACCATCTTGCCATAGGATCTCGTGACGGCATTGATTCGATTGCTTTCGGTATGGTTTCGAAAGGCTGACCATGCTTCCTCGTCCACCGGAGGTGGTGTCAAGACCAGAATGGGTTTTGAAGGTTGGTCCTGTTGGTTGTTGCTGCTGTCCTGTTGATGGAGTTTGCCACGAATCTTGTGAATCAATTGAATGAGATTCTCCCGGTACTCCTTCAAGGGAACATGTTGAGGATTGCCCGGTAGAACCGCATCGTTGGCTCCGAAAAACAAGGTGCTAAAGAGAACAGTATTATGATTGCTCTCCTCGTACGCCTGTTCCACGGTGGGCCACACATGAAGGGCGTGTCGTGTATTGTAGCCTCCAAATCCTCGATTGGTGACATCGGCTCTTCTGGAATACGTTGCAGCCAACAGCGATGCCCATCCAGCATGTCCATTTTCCCCAAACGCTCGTTGGGTCAAGGAATCTCCAAACAAGACAATGGAAGGACGTTTCTTGTTGTTGTCATTCTTGTCGTTGTTGTTGTCCCACACCACGCCCTTCCCCATTCTTCTTTTCCCCAACAGTAATAACATGGGAGCGTCCATAGTAGTATCATCATCTGGTTCTCTTGCTTCCACGTCGTCAGTCAATGCGACAAAGCCATTGGCCGCCGTGGACAATTGGTTCATGATACTGACTGATTGAGACGCAATGTGGAAATTCACCAGCAAGAACAAGACCGCAAACACAAATGTCAAGCGATACTTGGACCGATCGATCCTCTTACTCAGCGTGATCCGACCATTGTCCAAATCATCCGCCATCTTCCAGCCGTAGTAGACCATGAGCACCATGGGGTGTTATACTTGTATATTCTATCTCCACCACGTAATCGCCAAATCTGTCGTCAATTAATTTATTGTTTGCCCCTATTTGTCGGGTGTCGACGAATGAGCAAATCAATCCACTGTCCTTTCCAAGCTGTCAATCAGTGCGGCAGATACAAGAAGTAAACATATACACCAACATGGACACCGTTTGCTTGTGACGAGTGGCTGTCTGCTACAACGCGGGTCTCGTGAGTGAAGGCTTTCAGCTTTTCAACTGATTGTGTGCAGCGAGCTCTTTGGAAAAATGCACGGAGCGTAGCACGGACCCGCCACCTACCGATAGCTTTCAAATTGTGGCGCGATTAGACTTCGCATTGGCTGTTTCTTGAGCATCTCTCAGCATCTAAGAAGTTGATCACCGCCATCCTTGAAAGCTTTAGGCGAATCTGGAGGACGAAGGGGGAGCCTTTTGCTCTCACACATCATCATTTACTACATGTAGTATTGCTTCCTCTTACGGTTTGGTATTTACTGTAATTAACTCTACCAGCTTGTGGAACATTCCATCCATGACCCCAAAGGAAATTCTAGGAACATGCCTCTTTTCGTTTTCACTCGTGGGCATGCCGAATCGCTTGAGATGACGACGCAGGTCGTAGGTCTCACAAAATCCAACAAGACAACAACCAAATCCAAAAACGAAATCCAGTATCTTCAAAAAACATACCGATACAATGACCTCGACAGCTATGCAAGCAACTCGCATTGGAGCCAGAGCCTTGGTTCAACGCTCCATGGTGTCTCCTTCTCTCGGACTCCTTTCGTCCACTCGAGCATTGGCTCCCCAGAAATTTCTCCCTCGGCACTTCACATCCGGTACGGGAAATGGAATGTTTAGCAGCAAGACCAACTTTGCTCTGGGCATGGCCGGTGGTTTAATGTTGGCTGGTCTGCACAGTGCCACGGGTTCTGCAGATGATTTCTACGAGTATCGTTTCAAGACAAACAAGAGTCCGGATGATTTGGCATCCTTTTATGGCGGGGAAGAATTGATGGAGTTATTCTGCATCTTTCCCTTTGTGGGTCAAATCATGATGCGAAATGGTGAATTTGACGACGTGGGAAACTTCTACACGACTGGTGTTCCAGGCACAATGAAGGTGTCCATGGTCTTTTCCGATGAAGTCAACGAAGAAACGGGAGAAACCGAATGGTTCAATAAGCGAGAACGATTCCGCAACACATTGTGGGGATACAGCTGCTGGGATATGGTCTCCAATTTTGGCTTTCGAACCTTGGAAGATGGGCAAATTGAATGCTATCATTATGGAGAGTACTTTCATGGAAATCTTCCTGTGGTTTCCCAAGTCATGAAACTGGTCTTTCAAGTCCATGCCCGATGGGTAGCCTGGTCCACTGAACACCATATCAATCGCTATGCCTTTACAGCTGACACAGATGAAGAGGAAGAAATGGAAGAAGAATCCAGAAAGAACATGCCCCTGTTTTTGCTCAAAAATTATGCCTGGTCCGATCTCATGGCCATGATCTTTGGGGTCAAAGACGAAGATGCCGAGCAAAAGAAGTCTCCTTCCTTTTTGGTTCGAAGGCCTTCCATGGATGATGAAAAGTTGCCCATTCAAAGCAAGGAAGTCAAGATTCAAATCAGTCAAGATATCGCAGCGGATCGAGCCTCTGCAAGGCAATTGTTGGCCCGAAGTTCGACACAATCACCAGACGATGTCAAGGTGGTGCTGGCACGGAGCTACACAATAAGGAACATCGAATCCAACACGCAGGGAAATGCCTATGGATACGCCACGGAAGCAGCTCGCGTGCGGCACATGTCTCGCAGAGACTCGTACCGCCCCATGAAGGTGGACAAACAACCTACAATGTCTACTACCGTGAACAAGCCTGTGGAGGACAAACAACCTGCAAAGTCGACTACCGTGAAGAAGCCTGTGGAGGAGGGTGGCTTGAAACGTGAACCTTCTTCGGTTGGAGCCTAAGTGGCTGTCATTCTATGAAGCTCTCGGGAGCAATGGCGCAAAAAACTGAAGAACTGGACTATGAAAGGTATCGAAAACCGCAAGAAACAGACACACACAGAAGAACCACACACGCGACAAGAAGTCAAAACATCACCTGAAACCAAAGGAAAAAAGAAGCAAACACAACGCATGAAGCAATTTAAGTCACCAAAGAAACGGAATACATGTACAAGGAATCAACACACAACAACAAACAAAGACCCATCAACCCTACGAACCAATAGTGGATAGTAAAATGTCCATCGTCGTCCAGCACGACGAAGAACAAAAAGAAGAAAAACTCATTCCACCACACCACCGCTACCGATTTCTCGTCTCGCCATATCTAGCTAGTTCTTGCGCGGAAGTTCACAACACAAATTCAACTTACCTGCCTCCTAAGACGAAAGAAGAAATGGAGGAAGATTTCCAGCCAGCAGGAACATGCCCCGCATGTTGCTCCAATGCCAGCCAACGGATAATTGTCATTGGTCGCCTGTCTCCTGAGAAGGCTCCTGTTTGCTTTCGGCTGGCGGGACACGACAACAGCGAACACAAAGCGGCCAATAACGCAATCAATGTAGACGAGAGCGGGGACAAAACTCAAGGTGCTGGGGTGCCACGTTGGGACGCAGTACCTCTCCTGCCGCGGAACGAGCTGTGCGTGCCCAGTCGATCCGTTAGTTATGCTACATGTACCATGGCCAAGGACGAGCGAAACCGCTTGGAAGAGCCTCCCGCTGCCCAGCGTTTAGTGAGGCAACATGTCTTGTAACGGTCCGCTCCGAGGCTCCTTGAAGTGATCAGATCTTTTGAGAGGTTCGAGAGGTCCATCCCCACATCCAGCTCTATTGTCCGGTTCCTGTAGCAATATCCAATTGAATCCGTACCACTTCCGTCTCCTGCTACTGGCTAGATCTGGAATCTTGTGGGTTCCTTAGATAAAGCACGGCCCTATCCTCACTTGTTCTTACCCACTTATCCGCTATTGTGAATAGCTTCCTCAAGCCTTGTTCGATTGCTGAAAGAGCGATAAGCTATAACACAACAAGCGACGTCTCAAGAAAGGCAAACTCTAGAATTATGATGCTGTTTGTTATGGATATAGCCCTGGCTCCTGGCTCAGGCAGTTCTCACCTGGGAAGCACTTCAGATCTTCAGATGGCCCGGTTGCACGATAAATAATAAATAATCAAACTCCATTTCGACTTCTTTACCCGCTTGTCGCCGTCTTCTCCTTTACGAGAGATGGCGCTTTAGTAGAAGAAGGCACCTTATTATAGTAGAAGAAGCCAAATGATCCGAAGGCATCCGTCTCATTGCTGGATCATTATTGATCATTGCTTGCTTCTTGCTTTTCTGGTGCGTGGTACGGTACCAACGTACCGACCGGTACCAACCAAATAAATGAGAAAGTGAGAACGACGAGGCATCTTTGAAACATGGATACTAGATTGTCCGACTAGGTGGACACTACGAACGAACTTCAATCGCAGGACATTCAATACGTACCAGGAGATTACTCGGCCAAGTTGTATCTCTGACCTCGCCTTTTACTTGGCATCTGGGAAAGAATCTGAAAGACTATTGCCTCATAGCTCATCAAGGAAATTGTACGATCAAGGGCAAGGGTGCTCACGAAAGGATGGAACCATTGCTTAATGGAGCATGCTCAAGGCTTTTTAATCAAAAAGGGGAACAGTTCAAGTTGCGTGGATAGCCCATAAATCAAGCTGTGCAACTTCTTAATTGCTCGCATTCCATGTTTTAGCTTGTACTGTTTCTCGGCACTAAAAGCCAGCAATGGGAAACTCTACGACCACAGAGATGTACAAGAACCAAATTCACCCAGTACAATTCTTTGCATAGCACCTCCATCCTGCTCGTTGATGGTAAGGATATAGGATCTACAGTACATGATATATACCCACAGAGGCACCTTCTTTCTGACCAGACAAGAAAGGCTCAAAGGTATCATCGCGAAATCCGCCGGATAAGCGAATCCATTGACCTGAATACCCCAACGTTTCAGGGCTTTTATCTCCATTATTACCTGGCCAAAGCACAATTCGATACCACAAGCCTGTCCCCACATCCCCCATGGCTCAACAACAACACTTGCCAGTATCAATAGTCAGAAAACAGAGCCACCATGATGTTCCCACCCGAGCTGCGTTGCTCCAGCTTTGTGATCATTGTGGATAATGCACATGCCCCGACCAAGGGATTGCTGCAGCGAATACGAAACCGAGAAATGATGGAGTTATCGGCCTCACGATGGAATGCCACACCAGCCGCCAATACAACCACACAGAGCAGCCCTGCTTCCTTGGACGAACCCACCACACCCACGAATTTGGGACCCAAGGTGCCATTGCGACAGATCAGTCCTCCCGTCCAAAAGCGAGACAGCACCCAACAACCAAAGCTTGCAGCTCCGGCCACATTGCCACCATCACCATCTGGCAGCCCCTCCTCGGAGTCCCGAAAAGGCATCCCCAACAAGCCTGTGCGAAGTAAAAGCCCTCGCATGCAACAGAGGGACTCCTCCTCCTCTTCATTCGAGACAGATTCGAAACCTGCCGCTACCTTACCCATGTCGCCCATGCTACCCGGTCGCCATCATCGTGCCAACCACGGCCACAGCACAGATACAGCCTTGTCTCAAGAGCGCCCGCGAATGCCACAACGCAAGAGGAGCCTGCTCAAGCAAGAACACAAGGATGAAGAAGCTGCCATTGGGCGATTGTTGACAGCAGACGAGGAAGATGACGAGGAGGAAGACGAAGAAGACACCCAGAACATGGATGCCTCGATTGTCCTTACAGCACTAGAACAACAAGACAAAGGACGTCATGCCTTGACCAGACGCCCCAGCCAGCTCGCCCGGCAATCGAGCTTTGAGATCTTGCCTGCTACCCTACCCACTCGTCAGTCAAGCTTTGAGTTGCGCCATCGGGGCGCTTCGCCCCTTTCAGAGAAAGTCGTCATGGAAATCCTGCATCATCGCCATCATCCACGTCCTCTGTCTCCGGAACGATCGCAGTCTTCCGCCAGCATGCCAAACTTGTCTCGACGAGATACACCCGAAGACCTCGCCGCACAAGTCGAACCCAAGCTACATGTCTCCTTGCCCAACCTGTATCTTTCGACGACGACGGGCCTCTCGGATAGCCAAGAGACCGGCAAGCCACGAAGATGCGCTCCAAGGTTGAAGGCCGCCTCTGCTGGAGACTTGGATTCCGAACGACATGCTCGCTTGAAAACCGAGGCTACCATGGCAAAGCCAACTGGGTTTGACAAAGAAGAAGTTACCACTGCGGATCATCCAACTGCCCAACGGATTGTCCCATCATCCAAGGTATCCGCTGGTTCCTCAGTGCTGCTCACCAAGAACCAGCAGTTGCAAGGTCCTCCTGTCACCACTCCCATGCCCCGCAAACCGATGCGTCAATGGAGTTTCAACTCCCAGTCAAGTGAGTCATCGGCTGGCAGCTGCAAGGCCAGGCGCTTCCCCATCTTTCGGCCTGGAGCTACCCGTCCCAGCTTGCCGGTCCGAAACTCGAGCTTTGACTTTACTGTGGAGCACGCAAAGTCCGCTCCACCTGTGGGCAAGCTACCGGGTCGTCAATCCAGTTTCCCTGGGTTGCATTCCACTTTTCAAAAGCTATAGACGATTCAAGTCGACTTAACTTTAGACAACATTTACTTGCCAGCATCTACTACCAGTAGTATAATATAGTATGATACGGTGGGCTGCCTTCGAAATCTGTAGCACCTTCGAAATCTGTAGCATCCCCGTTCTGTTGTGGCGTGCATCGCACCATCCGGGTGTAACTCGGCGGTTCCTAAGGTATCACCACTGCTGCTGTGAATGATTCATTCGTTGGATCAAGATGTATAGAATCTTAGTCAGGATAAGGATCACGGTTCAGGATTCAGGATGATGGTTCAATCTTTCATACGACTAGTTGACACACACCGTGTTACAATGTTCCACCGCACCGCCTGCGGCTGCTTTTGATGTGAGGTGACGCTTTACTTGGATGTGTGATTGGGTGTTGAAACCGTTCAATTTTTAGGTTAAGCGGTGTCCAGGGGTTAGCCAGTCTTTGATGGGTAGTTGATGGGTAGTTGACGTTTGGTTGGTGTTGCTATGGAGAGCATTGGCTAGACAGCTTGGCTGGACATGGGTCCCAGCTTGTTGATGCGTTGTTAGATTTATGTTGCCGAGTTGGCTATGAACACTGTTGCCAGAAGCTATCCCAGATCCCAGATCAAATCAACCAAGTGTCCTTTTAAAATAATTAAACAGTGGAGAGGGAGAAAAAGTTCATGAGTCATCCTGTCATCCTTGCATGAATATTGGGTGATCGTAGGTATGATAGCTGCTATGATACTATTTACTGTAGGCAGAGCTCTGCATTCGGCAAGCTAGCTCTGAGTCATCAGCTGGAGGGGTAGAGTTTTACTAGCTAGCTACTAGTAGTGCTACTGTACTATCAATACAATGCTGCTTCAAGGGGTGACGCGACGAATTCCGAAGCTCGTCATTGTCAGAGCAGGTGGCTGTTGTAGTCTGTTAAGTCTTTGTTGATGATTGAGTGGTAAGAACTCGAACTGGCTGCGTTGTCTCTTAAATCATGCTAAACAGCAAAAACAATGAATATGACGCGATATTTTCAGAAGCTCGTCAACTAAATAGGCTAGCTAGTCATTGTCGTGACTGTTGTCGATCCTAAATCTTTGTTCATGTTGCTTAGAAAGCATTCCAGATGGTGCACTTGTCTCTTATTAAAAAATAAAAGTCAAGCGGAACGAAGTAGACAGCCTGGTACCACTAGAAACTATTAAAATAGAAGGATGCATCCACCAGCAAACTTGCGTGGCAGGGTCTGGCTACGATGTACGTCCAAACTTCTCTCTTCTGCGGCGGTTCAGGTGGATTAAGTCTTACTTAATTCTCGCTGCAAACTTCTCTCTCTGCGGTGAGACCCAACGGTTCAGGTTCAGGTACTGGATGCCGTCGGTTGATCTACATACCGGGTACCAGTACCATTCAGCCATTCAGTATGTACATACACTGTAAGAAAAAGACATAAAGGTCTCAACAGGTACAGTGTTTACTACTAGTATACCGCTCTAGCTAGTAGTAAATGGGTTATCGTGACTCGAGAACCCATACAGATTGATTTTACGAGTGGTTTCCAGCTACCCAAGAAGCCCTTTACACCCAGGCAAATTGCGTGGCGGTTGTGGCTGTCAGTTCTGGGTCCGGCTTACAGTGCGAAGTCAAGCAAAACATCGCTGTGCTAAAGAGCATCGAAACATCAGTTTCCAGCTACCACATCCATCATCATTTCTCACAATTTCAAATCGCCACCAACTAAAAAGCATTCTCCATTAGAATCAAAACATACAATATCATGTCTCCCCCCAACACAAACAACGCTCCCGCTCCTACTGGCACAAGACCCCGCCGCCGTAGCTCTGGCACCAAGCTGTTGCTACTCGGCCTGGCCGCCAACTTGAATGGGGCAGAGTCGTTCTCAACTGTGCAGGCCCCAGCAACTCGACCATCCGCCAAGGCAACACCAGTTCCAGTGGATAAGCGCAGTGCATTCCGCAAGGCAGCATCGTGCCCCAATCTTGGAAGAACTTCGACCTCTATGGACGTTTTCTCTGCAGACATGGACAGTCTTTCAATCCCCACCAACCCGATGGGTGACATCTTTGATGGACTTGGAAGCATGCTCATGGCAGACTCTGCTGCTGCTGTGGACGTTGAGGCAGAAGGGATGAACCTGGCGGCCCATGCCTTGTTGGACTTTTCTAGCCATTGGGCGCAAGCCACTATCGCTCTTCGGATGGCCGATGTCATTGGCCGGCTTTTTGTTTTGGGCCAGAGTTTGTTGCCTGGACACGGCATGTCGCCCGATGAACTCGCCATTCAGCTCGGCTTTCTGGCCGTCTCGTGCAATTCTTTGCACAAGCTTGTGCAGCCAAAGTTGAAGGCAGCCCAGGCATCCCAGTACTTGACCCCTCAAGACCGTTTGGCATTCCGCAAGGTTTTCAAGCCAGCGGGGCTCAACTGGAGCGAGTACCGAGAGCTCAGTCTCGAGAGTATGGAGTGGGTAACAATGGAGCCCGGACAGACCGTGAAGGACGACGCCGTCTACTGGCTGTACGAAGGTACCATTGAAATTGAAAGTGCATCCACCGCAACTCGCGTTTTGACTGGCGACAAAACCGTTTCTGGCTTTAGCGGTCTTTTCGGCGAGAACCGCATTGCCAAGATCTTGGGCATCACCGACTGCGGCAAGTCTGGAACCAAGACAACTGTGATCGGTGAGCAAGGAGCTACTTTCCTCAGAATGAGCACCAACAAGTTGGGAAAGCTCATGAAACACGATGATGCTTTGGCGACCTCCATGAACAGATTGGTTTTCCAAAGCATGAAGAATAGAATCACCGAAGGTGCTCTCGGCGCTTGAAAATGAAGCACGCATAAGAACCACAAACGCTATGCTGGACCGTCCGACGGTTTTCGATAAGGATTTAAAAACCTTGAATTTTCCACGACTGACAACATCCTCTTAAACATCCTCTTAACATCCTCTTAACATCCTCTTAAATCTTCAACTTCCTCTTAAACATCCTTTCAAAAATACATCCTCTTAACAACATCCTCTTAAAGCTTCGAAACATCCTCTTAAGCCTTCATTGAAACACCATAGAACTTCCTCTTATCACGAATGAACATCCTCTTAAATAAACATCCTCTTAACAACATCCTCTTAAATACTCAACATCCTCTTAAACATCCTCTTAAATCTTCACATCCTCTTACATCCGCTTAACGCGAACCAGGATTTTGAGTCAGTCGTGGCAGTTTTAAAAGCCTGAGAGAAAACCGTCGAACGGTCCTGCTTGAAACTGAGAATAGACCATTTTAGATAAGATTAGATGAATTAGATTACTAGTCTAACTAAACTAGGTTTGGCAAAACCAGTTGAATGAGTCAGTCGAGTCTTGCAGGCTGTCTGTATAGATAGCTGGCCACGCTGCCCAGAGAAGCAGTCTTATGAAGTCGTGATGAACCTTCATCCTTCATCACAATCTGCCACTGGCAAGTAGGCAACTTGTGGATTGGAGCATCCTGGACCTCTGTGGAAACTCGAGTCGTGCTACTTTTCGTCTCCTAAATCCTTTTGATCGTCTCCTATTTAATGGATTTCGTCTCCTAAAAATAGGAGACGAAACGGATCGTCTCCTAAATCTTTTGTCTCCTCTTAAAACGTCTCCTATTTTCAACGGATCGTCTCCTATTCTCAACGGATCGTCTCCTAAGTGTACCATGTAAACTGTATGGCATCGTCTCCTAAATCTTTCGGATCGTCTCCTATTTCGAAACAATCGTCTCCTAATTGGAATGTCTCCTACTGAATCGTCTCCTAAATATAGGAGACGATTGCTTTCGTCTCTTAAATCATTTCGATCGTCTCCTATTCCTCGGTGTATCGTCTCTTAAGTATTTTGCCACCAATGACGTTTCCACAGAGGTCCTGCTGCGCGGATGCATATTGGAAGAGAACAGCCGCTTGTAGTCGTACGTCCTAGCAAAGCTCTCTCCACAGCTTTTCCTCCACAGCCAGACCTTCTCCCGTGGCGCCTGCTTCCAGTGGAGCCAACGAAGGGTGGTCTTTACCAATCAGCTCCATCAATCCTTCATGTACTTTTCGATTGCCCTCCTCGTTAAGGTGCAAGCCATCACTCAGATATCGGCCATAAACCTCTGGGGAAGTTGCTCCCTCTAGCAGATTCCACACATTGAGGACGGAACAGCCTAGAGATTTTCCCAATTCCAGTACCTTTTCTCCATATGACTTAGCCACATTGTTGGCGCGTCCATCTTCTTCCAAGTCGCGGCATTTCCTCCAAGCAGCAGGGTCAAAGGGTGGGGGTGTCATCAGGATAATGGGAAACTTGTCGTCATCCTTTGTAGCAGCGGAGCTGAAAATGTTGAAGCATGCACTAGGAATCTCGAGGTCAGAGCACCATTGTATGAATCAAGTAACCAATGCCAGAACTATTCATGCAGCCACTGATGAGTGATACAAAAACATACCGAATAGTGCCAATGATTGTTTCGAGATTTTTTGCATATTCCTCAATTGGTACATGCTGTCGCTCCCCGGGCAAACATGCATCATTGGCTCCGAAGAACACGGTACAAAACAAAATACCACTTCCCTCTTGGTTATCTTTGCTGGGAGGAAAGACTTTGGGAAGAAGAGGTAGTGCCATCTGTGTGTTGTATCCCGAGAAACCCCTGTTGAGGACATCGGCTCGACGTGCGTAGTCACTGGCTAACAGTGAAGCCCAGCCAACCTTGCCCTCCACGCCAAAGGCTTGTTCTGTGATTGAGTCTCCAAAGAGCACAATAGCCGGACGGATTCGTAGAGCAACCATGGCGAACAAGCTCGAGTAATATCGCAGCACAACTTGGACGTCGATGTCGAGGGTGGGTGCAAGCATGGGGTGAGAAGTGAGAAGGAAGATACTGTTGTTTCATTAGGGTAGAGGATACAGTAAGATCATTTTGAGGTTCGCGCCATCCGAAAACGAAAATTTGGCTTTCGAAGTTTCTTTCTGACCACCTCTTCGTATATGCCTACTTCACACCCAGAACCCCTTGATCCCTTTCCCTACTTTCTCCAAGCGGACGTTACCTAGTACCGTTCCTTTCACGTAATCCCCTTTATAGTTATTTATTTATTTATTTATTTATTTTACCTCTTCCATCCCTCCCTCACTTATCCTGCAAGAAAACTTCTATAAGATAGCAATGACGGCCTCTGATACGACTACCAGCAGCAACAAGAGATGCCTTGATGCCTTAACGATCGAAGAGCTGGAGGAAGAGCTGCGGAAACGAAGGAAGAAGGCAGCTGAAGAAGAAGAAAAAGAGGAGGAGGAACTTGACGATGACTGTGAGGATGTTCCCATCTACCACTGGCCGGATGCTTCGTCTATCAATCTTCACGTCGCACGTGCAAGGCTATCCGCCATCTTTCAGGCGATTGAGGACAACTGCAGCGATGTTACCGCTGACTATGACTTCGATACAAAGTTACACGCACTGTTTCTCTTGCGAAGCCACCAATCCTTGATTGCGGAAGCCTACAACAGAAGAACCACTCTGTCTTACTTCCTCCAAGCAGGCACAGACGCCACTACCATGGAAGAATTGGCCCTCATGTACAACGCATACGTCCCCGAAAATCCCAAAATGGAATTCTGGATGTATTCCTTTCCTCAGGAGCCCAACATAGTGGCTGATTTGTGCAAATATGGAGCCCTGAAAGGAGGATGCGAGGGAAACTCCAGAGTCATTATGAAACAATTCTCCCATCAGATCTTGAAGCCAATTATTCCCACAGGTGCCACGTGGTGCCGTAAGACTCTCCCCTTTGATCTTCTTGTCAAAACATGCATTCCAAGAACACGCGGCGATCGCGATCACATCTTCTCGGAGGTTCAAGTGCAATTGAAAGTTGCCGAGATTTTGGAGTCCATGCTAGAGTTCAGCCCAAACATGTTCAATGAAATCCGTAACGAAGACAGTATTTTTTTCTTCCTAACCGGCAGGCACATTGGGAACATTCTGAAGCAGTTTGTATTTGAGAAGCTCGCCCAACATTGGAACGTGACTCGGCTGGTGATTCCAACTTGGATGCGGTATTTTGATGCACAGGATGCTTACGCCATTGGTAGAATGCTGCCAAAACTCAAAACGTTTCGTTACCTTAACGAGATTGGCACGAATACATTCGAGACCCTTCTGAATGTCTTGTTTTGCCAAAGAGATACGACAATGCTGGAAGATTTGGGTTTGAGTATTCCTAACTGGGAAATCAGCGAATGGCAACCAATGTTTGGTGCTACTATCAAGAAATACACCAATCTTCGGCGGATGGCGCTGTGCATGGCTCGACCGCCACGGGACGAGAACTACGTCTTTGACCTGCACTTTTTTGAGACAGCTCAGCGAAACCACAAGGGCATTTCAGAGCTCGAGCTTGAAGGTTTCCGGCTTTATAGCACCGCAAGCTTGAACAAAGTTATGCACAACAACCTTGAAAGTCTTGTTTTGGATGATGTTACTGTCACTCCCGATCAACCCTGGTCGTCTGATAGTACGCCCTTTCCTAGCTTGACCGATGTCCGCCTGGACAACATTGACGCGTCTCAGTTATGGGTCCAGGGACTGCTGATGCAACTTGCCAAGTCACCAGAGTTGACGTCGTTGAATGTGAACCATTTTGACGAAGACGGGGACGAAGCTGATCTGACAAATGTCTTTATTGCTTTTCTAAAAGCAAACAGGCTCAGTTGCTTGCAGGGTTCCTGCTTTTCTTTGGATCTGAATAAGGCATCCCAGGCTCTGTCCCAAAACACGTCCCTGAATTATTTTGCTCTGCCGTATTCCACTCCATCGGATCAAATTGGTAAGCTGGGAGAAGCTCTGGAATCAAACAAGACACTGTCCCATATAGACACACGGTTGTGCTTGGTTGATTCCGACGAAGGCAGCAAGGTTGTCCATTACAGTATTCTGAACCTGTTCAATAGAGAGGCACTGAGCGATCCAAAGAAAGCCACCAAGGAAGAAGTACTCCGTCAGCTTTCTGACGTTCTCGACTGCCTTGGGCTGGGCGACGATGATCGTGGCTTTGGAGAAGAACACAGCGACCTGGTCTTTCAAAGTGCCCGGTTTGCAATTCTACAAATGACTTCATCTGTCTGGGCGAAATGAAATTGGTACACAGAGACTCCTAAACTCAGCTGACGTGCCTCAAAAACCTTGGACTCCATGTTCAGACAATCAACTTTTACAGTTCGCAAACTTGACTTGTAGTCCACCTAGCTCTAGTTAGCACAATGCTGCTTTCCTTATGTTATTGAACGTCCTGCTTGTTATATGATTGCATAAGCCGGTCCAGTTGGAGTCGTTTGATTTCAATGTGCTGATTGGGCACATCTTTGCTCATTGCTTGCCATTCCAAAGCTACTTGTCTCCTTTCCTTGAGTATCATTTCCGCTACTGTCACAGGATCGACCAATGCGGAAAAGCCAGCATCCATGCTCACTCTGGAAGCCGGCGGTGCAAAGAGCAATTCTTCCAAAAAGTCATCGGCGCGGCCGTAACGTTGGATTCCGGTGAAGTGGGTTTCCAGTCGTTCGACATAAAAGTTGAGTAGATACTTTTGATAAATTGCAAAACTCTCCTCTCTGTTGTTGTCCTTGTTCAATATTCGATGGATGCTTTCCTGCGTTGCTAGGAGGGTAACCAGATCGAAGTTTCCTTTTCGGAGCGGAGAAAACATCATGTCACCCATTGAGTCAAGGCTATACTCCAAGAAAACTAAATTGTGTGGTGGAAGTCGTCTTGGACTGCCGTCAGCTCCTGATGACATGGTGACTGGATTGGATGTAGTACTGCGATCAACTCCAATTGGCGTGAGTTGGTCTGTAGTAGTGTAATCTTCGTCCTCGTCGAGCTGATTGTCGAGATAATCCCAGTAGCTATCCATGGTATGTTGTCCCATGTTGGCCATTACGCCCAAGTCATGCGCAAACTCTTCGGCAATCTGCTCCCTGACCGAGATGATTCGAGTGCACAAGGAAGCTGGATTGATATCCAATTCATAATCCTTGACCTCAATACCCGACGACTGCACCACAAACACTTCCATTGGCTTTTCCAATAGTTCTGCAAAGTAACATTTCCAGGTTGGGAACAGGGTAGTGTTCATAACCCCCAATCCATGGTAGGTGAGCAACTTGCTGTAGGACTTGCCATCTGGGTTCTTTACGTTTGTATCACTGGTAATGGCATTGGTTGCTTCCGTGGTGCCTGTCAGTCGAGCGTTGCTACTCTTGCTTTTAGGGATAACGGGCTGTGTGAAGTTGTGTACCCATCGAATGGTTTGTGGGTCTCGTAGGCTCCGAACAACGGTCAGGAAGGACTGAATGGCGCATTGGTTCAGCAATTGAGGAAAATCGTTCCCCAGTTTCCATGCTCCACCACCACTGCTGCTGCCTCCACCAGCAGCATCATTGTAGCCATCTTGAGTCGAAAGCGACAAAAAGGAATGGGAAACTCGCCTGGGAGCAGGGACAACGAAGGCAGTTGCGGCAGCCGGAAATAAACAGAACAACTGAAGCACAGAGTTGAGCTTCATGACACCAAACAGGGCAATCAAGAGAACAACTTTGTTGTTGGAGTGCTCTACTTGACGTGGATACAGGTGTGTAATGGACTGGGCGAGAATTCTCATGCCAAGGTTACAGCCTGCAAGGTTGCTTAAAACGCTCTGTCAGTCATGCGTAAAATATCTTTTTAATGTTGTGCGGGGAATACTAGTCTAGACTAGAACTCCAGGAGTAGTGGCTATGGGAGTGATCAAGAGCCTCATCAAAGAAGAACCACCCTCCAAGACATTTATTGTGTGACGTGCTAGTATACCGGTATCAGAGAACAACTAACTACAGAGGCCAGAGTCGACGGAGTGGGCCCTTTCGTCGGGCGCCAATCAGAGTAGCCTGCTAGTTAAACCAAGGACATGTCAAACAGGTACAGTGTAGCTACAAGATAGTTTGATAGACTCGGCTAAGTTATGTAGATATTTTTATGTGCATGTCAAACCTTCCTGTCATGGGGAACTCATTCAAATCAACGTGCACAGCACTGATGTTGGACAGTCTTGTTGTTCCTCTTCAAGAATCACAATCCTTACAAGCACAAGTCGCACAGCATCCACAAAAGAGCAAACCAATACACCATGAAAACACATTGCAATCTTCATCCAACTCGCGACAGCACCCTCGCTTGTCGTCTCTGTTCGCGTTTTTCGTCTTTTTCTTGGCACCTTGGTTGGTTTCTGATGTGACGATCAGTTCTTCCGTGGCACGATCATAAACATCATTATCTACGCCGCCTCGTTCCGTCATCTTCGACATTCTGGGAGAAGCAAAGGCTATCTTGTCCTTTGCAACTGAGGTGGGAAGGACAGGCTTGCTTCGGCTTTGGTTTTGTTGCTCAACGTTTGCATCCATGTATCCGATGTCTTTGACTTTGCTCAATGTTGGCTGTTTATTAGTGCTGTTAGTATGGCTGCAGCTGGTATCCTCACTTGTTGCTGACATCTGTGATGTTGACGCTTCCAGCCCATTCTGCTTGAGTTTGTACACATCATTGAGGTCTGTAGAAGCTAACTTCATTTTGTCTCAGCATCAACATCTTCAGGGTTGAATTTAAAGCCCTTCACCTTTATCTCCTCTAAGAATGACATTGTCATACAGTGATTCTTCAAATTCCATGGTCTCTAGGTAGCTGGGAGATTGTTTGGGAGGCAGCTTGGGTCTCAGGAGAGAATCTGGAAAGTGAGATCTGGGAGATCTCATTGAATTCTGCTCTCGGTTTCACTGTTTCATCACGGAACCACGTCACCAAGCACCACGACACTCAAACGGCCTTGCTACTGATCTGGTCTTGGGTTCTTTGTCTCATTCAGTACTGTCATGGAAGTCCAAAGCTATAAATAACACATATGCATTAACACCATTATATTCACTAAGATGGGGGTTTTCTGATACCCGAGTACCCGTGACAGGGTCACTCCAAGGCACTGTGCTCTAGGGCATTCAAATCCTGATGGGAACAGACCTTCCTCCTTTGCAGGAGTTGCTCTGCCTGGTTCAACACCTTGGCAAAGCATGGATGTTCCCAACATTCAAATCTTGTCCAT